GATAGAGTTCTTCTATAATATTTCCGATTTCACGATAATTAACTTTATTTTTGACAAATTCGTGCACTGAAATCGAAATTTTCAAACTTTTCCCGTCCCAAATTAAATTCATCCAAATTTTTTTTGAGAATTTCCTTGAACTGTTTCTTCATCTAAAATCCCGAACTGATATTAAAATTCTTCTAACTCTTTTACTTTCAACATAAATTTCTTCTAGAACTCACAAAGTTCATTTCTCCTGAATCGACATCGAAATTCGTCTATATTTTGCCGTTTCGCTATAGAAATCATTAATTAATTTCTGTGGAGTTGAAATTCTCCTGTTCTTCATTTATTCAAGATAGAATTCTTCTAGAATCTTTTCGTTTTTATGATAATTAACTTTTTTTATGACATATTCGTACACCGAAGTCGAAACTTTCTAACTCTTCCCGTTCCCAAATAGAATTCGTCAAAATTGTCTTAAACGCTTTCTCAACTAAAATCCCGAACTGATAGTAAAATTCTTCTAGAACTCACAAAATTAATTTCTCTTGTTAATGTCATCCTTAATCGACATCGAAATTCGTCTATATCTTGCCGTTTCGATGTAGAATTCTTCTAGTTCTTCTTTCAAAATAAATTTCTTTTAAAATATGCCCGAACTTTCATTAATTCATTCCTCTGAAGTCCAAATTCGCCTGTTCTTCTTTTCTTCAAGATAGAGTTCTTCTAGAATATTTTCGATTTCACGATAATTAACTTTATTTTTGACAAATTCGTGCACTGAAATCGAAATTTTCAAACTTTTCCGGTCCCAAATTAAATTCATCCAAATTTTTTTGAAGAATTTTCTTGAACTGTTTCTTCATCTAAAATCCCGAACTGATATTAAGTTCTTCTAGCTCTTTTGCTTTCAACATAAATTTCTTCTAGAACTCGCAAAACAATTTGTCCTGAATCGACATCGAAATTCGCCTATATCTTGTCGTTTCGTTATAGAATTCTTCTAGTTCTTCTTTCAAAATAAATTTCTTCTGGAATATGCCCCAACTGTCATTAATTAATTCCTCTGAGGTCCAAATTCGCCTGTTCTTCTTTTATTCAAGATAGAGTTCTTCTAGAATCTTTTCGATTTCACGATAATTAACTTTCTTTTCGATATGTTCGTCACTGAAATCGAAATTTTCAAACTTTTCCCGTCCCAAATCAACTTCATCCAAATTTTTTTGAGAATTTTTTTGAGCTCTTTCGTCAACTAAAATCCAGAACTGATATTAAAATTCTTCTAGCTCTTTTGCTTTCAACATAAATTTCTTCTAGAACTCACAAAATTAATTTGTCCTGAATCGACATCGAAATTCGTCTATATTTTGCCGTTTCGCTATAGAATTCTTCTAGTTCTTCTTTCAAAATATATTTCTTCTGGAATATGCCCCAACTGTCATTAATTAATTTCTGTGGAGTTGAAATTCACCTGTTCTTCCTTTATGCAAGATAGAGTTCTTCTAGAATCTTTTCGTTTTTTTGAAAATTAACTTTTTTTATGACATATTCGTGCATCGAAATCGAAACTTTCTAACTCTTCCCGTTCCCAAATAGAATTCGTCAAAATTGTCTTAAACGGTTTCTCAACTAAAATCCCGAACTGGTAGTAAAATTCTTCTAGCTCTTTGATTTTCATCATAAATTTCTTCTAGATCTCACAAAATTAATTTCTCCTGTTAATGTCATCTTTAATCGACATCGAAATTCGTCTATATCTAGTCGTTTCGATGTAGAATTCTTCTAAATAGTTCTTCTTTCAAAATATTTTTTTTTTAAATATGCCCGAACCTTCATTAATTCATTCCTCTGAAGTCCAAATTCGCCTGTTCTTCTTTTATTCAACATAGAGTTCTTCTAGAATCTTTTCGATTTCACGATAATTAACTTTATTTTTGACAAATTCGTGCACTGAAATCGAAATTTTCAAACTTTTCCCGTCCCAAATTAAATTCATCCAATTTTCTTTTGAGAATTTTCTTCAACTGTTTCTTCATCTAAAATCCCGAACTGATATTAAAATTCTTCTAGCTCTTTTGCTTTCAACATAAATTTCTTCTAAAACTCACAAAGTTAATTTCTCCTGAATCGACATCGAAATTCGTCTATATTTTGCCGTTTCGCTATAGAAATCATTAATTAATTTCTGTGGAGTTGAAATTCTCCTGTTCTTCCTTTATTCAAGATAGAATTCTTCTAGAATCTTTTCGTTTTTATGATAATTAACTTTTTTTATGACATATTCGTGCACCGAAATCGAAACTTTCTAACTCTTCCCGTTACCAAATAGAATTCGTCAAAATTGTCTTGAACACTTTCTCAACTAAAATCCCGAACTGATAGTAAAATTCTCCTAGCTCTTTGGGTTTCATCATAAATTTCTTCTAGAACTCACAAAACTAATTTCTCCTGTTAATGTCATCCTTAATCGACATCGAAATTCGTCTATATCTTACCGTTTCGATGTAGAATTCTTCTAGTTCTTCTTTCAAAATATATTTTTTTTTTAAATATGCCCGAACTTTCATTAATTCATTCCTCTGAAGTCCAAATTCGCCTGTTCTTCTTTTATTCAACATAGAGTTCTTCTAGAATCGTTTCGATTTCACGATAATTAACTTTATTTTTGACAAATTCGTGCACTGAAATCGAAATTTTCAAACTTTTCCCGTCCCAAATTAAATTCATCTAAATTTTTTTTGAGAATTTTCTTGAACTGTTTCTTCATCTAAAATCCCGAAGTGATATTAAAATTCTTCTAGCTGTTTTGTTTTCAACATAAATTTCTTCTAGAACTCACAAAATTAATTTCTCCTGAATCGGCATCGAAATTCGTCTATATTTTGCCGTTTCGCTATAGAATTCTTCTAGTTCTTCTTTCAAAATAAATTTCTTTTGGAATATGTCCCATGTCATTAATTAATTTTTGTGGAGTTGAAATTCTCATGTTATTCCTTTATTCAAGATAGAGTTCTTCTAGAATCTTTTCGAAGTCCCGAATTGAGAATAAAATTCTTCTAGCTTTTTTACTTTCAAGATAAATTTCTTGTAGAATCTTCTCGAACTCAAATTTAGTAATTAATTCTGCTCTTCCTTTTTTCAAATAGAGAGTTGTCTAGAATTGTTTGGTTTCATGATCATTAGCTTTCAAAATTTTGTAGCTCTTTCCGTTTTCAGGTATACTTTCTTTCAGAACTCTTATTTTAACTACAAAATCCTGAGTTGAAGTTAAAATTCTTCTAGCTCTTCTTCCAAAATTTATTATACAGTTTAAAATAGCCTATTATACGTAATGACTAGAATATAACGGTGGTAGGCATTGGGTGGTTCGTAATCAAATATTATCGGACATCTACTCTTTGTTCTAGGAACACAATTTCTAATTTAATTCTGAAAACTGCCGTTTGCAGTCTTTAAGTTACCTGCATGAGTATATGTTTTACATAATCAATAACATCATTAAATTATAATGTAAAAAGAAGCGTACCTTGGTTTGGACCCTGAACAACGCCGTACTCCATAATAAATATCTAAACACAATGATCACTCAGAACGTCCCTTTTGTATTATACGACGTGATCATGAATAGCACAATACACACAAACAAAAAAAGTACTGATTAGCCACATAACTCCAAAACCGACAACTTCCTCCGGAAACACTCCAACTCGCTGCAACTTCGAGAGAATCATCCCGCATTAGGCGCATTAAAAATGACAGCACCTGCCATAAATAAAGGAAAACATCCCGCGAAAAATCGGCTTGCTCCTTTGGAAAATCGAAACGTGTCAATAATGCAGCCGGTCCGAAGTGACTGCAGCTTTAAAATTCACCAGCAAATTGCCTCGAGATGGTACTACTAAGCCCATCCAGTTCGGCCGAAATTTATCATTGGAAGGGGCTTGTTTGAAATGGATTTGTTTTGTTTGTTAATTAACTAATCGCGGCGAGTGGGGCGGCAGGGGGCGGCGGGCCCGGGAAAGATGGGATTCCTTGTTAGGACGGCGCGATAATAGAATGGCAATCGGTGCTTTTGTGAGGTGCGGAGGAGAAAAGAGCAATTTGTGCGAGTGTGGAGTTCGGTGTGTGAAATATTTTTCCACTCGCTAACGTAAGATTTGTTGAATACAAGAAGTTTCTTTGAAGTTTGAGCAGCAATCATTAAACAAAAAGAAACTTGATTGTGGGAAAACGGGCCGCGGTTCGCTTCCTCTTCGAACGATTGATGACGTCACGGCAAAATCGTGCTGAGTATCTTAGTAATAATAATACTAATAAGAATTTGTGCGAATGGAATTTCGTTATGACTTTAAAAATTGATTACGGTTTTAAGTAAATTTTTCGTGTTATGGATTAAAAGAGCGTCAATCTTCAATCAAGCGCTTTCCCATAGCAACGATCCCTCCTCGATCTAAACACTGACCTAATTTTTCCTCCAATCTTTGAACTTTTCCGCCTTACAGCGAAAACTCTCAACTTCCACACAGCGACATAATTAAAAAAAAAAAAAACGAAAACTCGTTACACCTCCAGAGATCTCCAACGCCGCCCCCAGCGCGCAGGCGCCACCGTTTTCAGGCGTCCAACTTTCCTCTTCCTTTCAGTATCGCAAAATGGCGCACCGGGGTAAAAAGCTTCACCGCGAAAACGATCGACAAAATTACATATCTCGCATGGTACGTTTGAAAGTCCGTTTCCGCCCCTTTTCCCAGCCGCCGCCACGTCCCCGTGCCGTGGACGTCCACAACCCATTTCCTCTAATCTATTGATTTTCTCGCTTATATGCAGTATATTGATTTGCGGGTTTTATAGAGGTTTTTCCGGAGAAAATTGTAATGCCGGAAAAATCGCCGACAATGCGACTCGAGTCGACGGAATGCGGCAAACGCGTAAACCGAGTGGGCGCGCTACAGGTGTTCTTTTTTTTTCTTCTTCGTTGTGTGTGCTTCCTTCGGCTATTTTTGTGTTTGTTTCAGAGGGAGCGCAAGCAGAAGAAGCTCTACTCCGAGGACTGGGCGCTGGGGGATGACGAGATCGAGGGCCGGCGCTCGTTCAACCTCCAGGAAAAGCTGGAGAACCCGCTTTTCGCCACGCACAACATCGTCAAGGAAATGCACGGCAACGAGTTGAATGTTGCGTATTTCCAGAAGTACGGCTTCAATACGCCGCTTCTGTTCAAAGAGAAAACGGGATTGGGTGAGTGGGATGATTGATGGTTGCGGAGTGAGTTAATGAGGAGATTGTTGTGTTATGGAGATTTCGGGCTTTGGCGACGCGTTTTCGCCAAAATTTAAATTAAACAAGCGTTTTTGTGTTTCGGAAGATAAGGAGCGGAGGAGTGAGAGTCGAATGTGACCGTTTTACAGGAGAAACAAATATTTTACGGTACGGAGATGATGCGGTTTACTGGGGCACTTTGGAGCTTTTACGGTAATTGATTAATGGTGGGTCTGGGTAAATGGTGGGGATAATGGGAAGGTTGTTGCTTATTATGACGATTCGAAGCTTGTTATCTTTTGTTTTGTTCGGTTTTTTTTTTTTTTTTGTTCATGCCGTGCAAAAAGCTGATGACGTCACCTCATAAATTAATTGATATTATGACCAACGTTACGTTCTAACCAATTTTGTGTACTTACTCCAAAGTTTCTCCGTCTTGCCGTTTCGTGAAAGAAGTTTTCTAGAATTGAAGTTCAACTTCGTTTGCTTCTTTTTTCAGGATAGAATTCTTCTCAAACTCACGTTAATTCACGCTCTGTAACATCTCCACCGATTTTCTAATTATTCTAGCTTTTCCCGTTTCCAAGTTTAATTCATGTAGATTTTCTTTTAGTATTTTATTCAACTCTTTCTTCAACTAAAATCTGGAGCTAAGGTTAAAATTCTTCTGGCTCTTCGTCTTTCAAAATAAGTTTCTATAAGAATCGTGCCGAAATCATATTAAATAATTTCTCTTTTTAAAGTTAGCCTCATAATCGAAATTTCGGCATAGAATTCTTTTTCTTCGATTTGAAACCTAAATTAAGTCCATATTTTTTCGAATTCGCGTTATTTAACCTCTTTTTGACATCTTCCTGCACCGAAAACTGATTTTTCTAGCTCTTCCCATTTCCGGATAGAATTCTTCTAGATTTTGTTTATACTTTTCGTGAACTTTTCTTCAACTAAAATCCCGAACTAATGTTAAAATTCCTCTAACTCTTCTTCTTTAGCTCTCGCCGACGTCGAAATTTTTCTATCTCAGCCCGTTTCAGTTAGAATTCTTCAAGAATTTACTTGAATTCTTTCTTCAACTTCAGACCCCAGCTAGTTAACTAAGATACAATTGTTCTAGAATCTTCTTAAAATAACTCTAATTAACATCTAGTTAACATCTCCCTGTACCGTAATCCAAATTCTCCGGTTCATCCCGTTTCCAGAGAATTCGTATAGATTTTCTTTTCGAATTTTCTTCAACTAGAATCCTGAACTGATGTTAAATTTCCACTAACTCTTCTTCTCCAGCCCACGGCGTCATCGAACTTTTCTTCTCGTTTCAGATTGAATTCTTCTCGAATTTACTTGAACTTTTTCTTCAACTTCAAACTCCAAATGAAGTCCAATTTCGTCGACTTCTTGTTTGTTTAAGGTACAATAATTATTCTAGAATCTTCTCAAATTCACGTTAATTAAGTCTAGTTAGCTTCTCCCTGCATTGTAATCAAAATTTTCTAGTTCGTCCCGTTTCTAGATAGAATTCGTCTAGCTTTTCTTTAGAATTTCCTTCCACTAAAATCCTAAACTGATGTTAAAATTCCTCTAATTCTTCTTCTCCAGCCCCATGGCCTCATCGAAGTTTTCTTTTCGTTTCAGATAGAATTCTTCTAGAATTTAATTGAGCTTTTTCTGCAACTTCAAACTCCAAATGAAGTCCAACTTCGCCGACTTCTTATTTGTTTAAGATACAATAATTATTCTAGAATCTTCTCAAATTCACGTTAATTAAATCTAGTTAGCTTCTCCTGTAATCAAAATTTTCTAGTTCGTCCCGTTTCTAGATAGAATTCGTCTAGCTTTCCTTTAGAATTTCCTTTAACTAAAATCCTAAACTGATGTTAAAATTCCTCTAACTTTTCTTCCCCAGTCCACCGCAACATCGAAATTCTGTTCTCGTTTCAAGTAGAATTCTTCTAGAATTTACTTGAACTTTTTCTTCAACTTCAAACTCCAAGTGAAGTCCAGTTTCGTCTAGTTTTTTTTATAATTAAGATACAATTGTTCTAGAATCTTCTTAAAATCACACTAATTAACGTCTAGTTAGCATCTCCCTATACTGTGATCGAAATTCTCAGGTTCATCCCGTTTCCAGATAGAATTCGTCTAGATTTTCTTTTAGAATTTACTTCAACTAGAATCTGATCTGATATTAAAATTCCTCTAATTTTTCTTCTCCAGCCCCATGGCCTCATCGAAGTTTTCTTCTCGTTTCAGATAGAATTCTTCTAGAATTTACTTGAACTTTTTCTGCAACTTCAACCTCCAAATGAAGTCCAATTTCGTCGATTTCTTATTTGTTTAAGATGCAATAATTATTCTAGAATCTTCTCAAATTCACGTTAATTAAATCTAGTTAGCTTCTCCCTGCATTATAATCAAAATTTTCTAGTTGGTCCCGTTTCTAGAGAGAATTCGTCTAGCTTTCCTTTAGAATTTCCTTCAACTAAAATCCTAAACTGACGTTAAAATTCCTCTAACTTTTCTTTCCCAGCCCACGGCAACATCGAAATTTTGTTCTCGTTTCAAGTAGAATTCTTCTAGAATTTACTTGAACTTTTTCTTCAGCTTCAAACTCCAAGTGAAGTCCAGTTTCGTCTAGTTTTTTTATTATTAAGATACAATTGTTCTAGAATCTCCTTAAAATCACACTAATTAACGTCTCGTTAGCATCTCCCTATACTGTGATCGAAATTCTCTGGTTCATCCCGTTTCCAGATAGAATTCGTCTAGATTTTCTTTTAGAATTTACTTCAACTAGAATCTGAACTGATTTAAAATTCCTCTAATTCTTCTCCAGCCCCATGGCCTCATCGAAGTTTTCTTCTCGTTTCAGATAGAATTCTTCTAGAATTTACTTGAGCTTGTTCTTCAACTTCAAGCTCCAAATGTAGTCCAATTTCGTCGACTTCTTGGTTTAAGATACAATAATTATTCTAGAATCTTCTCAAATTCACGTTAATTAAGTCTAGTTAGCTTCTCCCTGCTGCATTGTAATCAAAATTTTCTAGTGCGTCCCATTTCTAGATAGAATTCGTCTAGCTTTTTTTTAGAATTTCCTTCAACTAAAATCCTAAACTGTGATGTTAAAATTCCTCTAATTTTTCTTCCCCAGCCCACGGCAACATCGAAATTCTCTTCTCGTTTCAAGTAGAATTCTTCTAGAATTTACTTGAACTTTTTCTTCAACTTCAAACTTCAAGTGAAGTCCAGTTTCGTTTAGTTTTTTTTATAATTAAGATACAATTGTTCTAGAATCTTCTTAAAATCACACTAATTAAGGTCTAGTTAGCATCTCCCTATACTGTGATCGAAATTCTCTGGTTCATAACGTTTCCAGCTAGAATTCGTCTAGATTTTCTTTTAGAATTTACTTCAACTAGAATCTGAACTGATATTAAAATTCCTCTAACCTTTCTTCCCCAGCCCACGGCAACATCGAAATTCTGTTCTCGTTTCAAGTAGAATTCTTCTAGAATTTACTTGAACTTTTTCTTCAACTTCAAACTCCAAGTGAAGTCCAATTACGTCCAGTTTTTCGTTGTTGGAGATACAATTGTTTTAGAATATTCATAAAATCACGTTAATTAACGTCTAGGTCTCCCTGTACCGTAATCGAAATTCTCCGGTTCATCCCGTTTCCAGATAGAATTCCTCTAGATTTTCTTTTAAAATTTTCTTCAACTAAAATCCCAAACTGATTAAACTTCCTCAAACTCGTCTTCTCAAGCTCACGGAGACTTCGAATTCTCTTCTCGTTTCAGATAACATTCTTCCAGAATTTACATGATCTTCTTCTGCAACTTCAAGCTCCAAGTGAAGTCCAATTTGGTCTAGTTCTTCTTTGTTCAAGATAAATTGTTCTAGAATCTTCTCAAAATCACGTTAATTAAATCTAGTTAGCATCTCCCTGCACTAAAATTCGTCAAGATCTTCTATAAAAATGTTCTTGAAGTTTTTCTTCTGGAACTCAAATTAATTGATTTCTCTCTCTTTAATGTCAGCCTGTACCGACATCGAAATTCTTCTCTTCCGTTTCGAGATAGAATGTTTGTAAATTTTCTCGAACTCTTTCTTCATCAACTCCAAGTGAAGTCCAATTTCGCCTACTTTTTTCCAAGGTAGAATTCATGTAGAATATTTTTAAGTTTAGGCAAGTTAACGTCCTCTTGCACCGAAATCGTTCCGCATAGAGTTAATTCGCATAGAGTTAATTCATGTAGATTTTCTTCTTACAAATGAATATATCCCGAGAAAAAACAATTGACGTCATTTTTGAAAAACATTTAAACCAATTTTGCGGCCTTCAAAGCCTAGTATTTGGATGTAAATTACTCCACTGAAGTTTTTATCGTCTACAAAATCAAGTAAACTACAAAACTCTCCCAGGTTCGTCTTTGTTAGCACACCGCGTCAAAATGGCCCCGGGTTTCCCAGCCACCTTGATTTTTTTGCGAGCTTTCGCATTTTAAATTCATCGCTGTACCGAGATTGTTTATTATGTTTCGAATTGAAACTCCGTGTTGTACTTAGTGTGAAGCAAGAGTTTGGCGTTTTTTGAGGAAAATTAAAATTAAACAAGCCTGCGGGAGCGTTAAGGAGATAAGATGTGGTGAAAGGCAGTCGGTATTGCTTTTTATTCTTGTTGCGGAAATTCATTACTTTTGTGTGGGGGCGGTTGTTAAGTTTATTGGGATACTTAACACCTTAAGTACAATTTACATTACAAAATGGTGGATTACTTGTAAAGTTTTAATCCTTAATGGCTGCGTAAGGATAATAAGAAGGGAGAAAGCTTTGACGGAAACTCGAAGAAGGCAGTCGATACGTGACTAAAACCGTCACATCAGGATGGCATAATTAAAAAAACATTCATCAGTGTTTGAAATGCGACGTTAAGAATCGTAGTTTAACGGGTGAAAATAGCGGACCGGCTGTTATTTAAAAAGATGGATTTTGTATTCAAATGTTCGCCATAAATAACTTCCAGGGTGTTGTATGTAGTCCATTGCGTTTTCGTGATCTCGTTATTGTAACACCGAAAAGTGCATTGTGAGCGGAAGAAAAATGGGCGCTTGTTTGCGAGGGTTTGAATTTCAAATTTTCATAGGTCTGAGGGTAGTTTTATGGGGTTTTTTGTTTTTAAGAGGAAGTAAAGGGGCAAAAAATTATGATTTAGGGTTTCCGAACTTCGTTCGATCAATGAATAATTTTCGAGATGACGTCATCAGTGTTTTGGTGGGAACGCATTTTACGTTACGCATCATAAGCCATTCCACAAAATAACTCTTATTCACCATTACGACACGCCGCCGCAACCGGTGACTTAATAATTATTGCTTTCATTGAATGCTCCTCCATTATCAAGTTAAACAGATTATCTGCTTCCGTTTGACAGGTCTGCGCGTCCCGACGTCCAACTTCTCGATAAACGACGTCCGGATGTGCGTCGGCTCGCGCCGCGTCCTCGACGTGATGGACGTCAACACCCAGAAGAACAGCGAAATGACGATGAAAGAGTGGCAGAAGTACTACGAGGACCCCGATAAAGACAAGCTCTTGAACGTAATCTCGCTCGAATTCTCACACACCAAACTCGAGAACTACGTCCAGAGCCCTACGGTGGTGCGCCAGGTGGACTGGGTGGACTGCGTGTGGCCGCGCCACCTGAAAGAGAGCCAAACGGAGGCCACTAATCTCCTGGAGGACATGAAGTACCCCAAAGTCCAAAAGTACTGCCTCATGTCCGTCAAAGGTGCGAATTTTCGTGTCACCAAGAACATTATTATTATTGTTATTGTTGTATTGTAGGCTGCTACACGGACTTCCACGTGGACTTCGGCGGCACCTCCGTGTGGTACCACATCCTCAAGGGCGGCAAGGTGTTCTGGTTGATCCCGCCCACGGAGAACAACCTCGCCCTGTACGAGCGCTGGGTGCTCTCGGGGAAGCAGTCGGACATTTTTTTCGGTGACACGGTCGACAAGTGCGCCCGGATCGCGTTGACGGAGGGTAACACGTTCTTCATTCCGACGGGGTGGATACACGCGGTGTACACGCCGGTCGACTCGCTGGTGTTCGGCGGAAACTTCCTGCACTCGTACGGGATCGATAAGCAGTTGAAGATCGCACACGTGGAGGACACGACGAAAGTGCCGCAGAAGTTCCGGTATCCGTTCTTTACGGAGATGCTGTGGTACGTGCTGGAGCGGTACGTGCACTGTTTGCTGGGGAACTCGCACCTGACGACGGGCCACGACACGCCCATTCCGTCGGAGCGGCCGCACATACACCTGACGCAGGCGGAGCTACACGGGCTGAAGGTAGGTGCTACGGGTCGAGGGGCGGAGCTTGTGTAGTTCGCTTCGATTCTGGGGGCGATGTTGCGGATATTCAAAGTTTAGAGATGAGAGATAAGTTCGCTTTTTTAAGTAGTTAAAAAGTTTAAGGACTTTTTAAACAGTTTTTTTTTGTAATTACAAACTTCGTGTTTCGTGGGGATTTATATTTTAATTTGTTTGATCGGTTTTTTGGTTGTTTGGAAAACAAGTTTTCGACGCCGCGAAACACCGATTTTATTTTTGTGTGGTTGTTTGCATTTTAATGTTGATTTTATTATACGAAAAAGTGCAGTTAATTCAATATTTTTGCATGCCGTGATATCAGCTGTTATCGATTCAATTTTGAATTTTATTGATCTATTTATGCTTTATTTTTTTAATTTATGATCATAAATTAAAGGTTTACGACCACTTGATTTACGATGAATCAGTTTTTTTGTTTTATTTTAATAGCGTTAACAAAAAGGTTCGTCGCTGCTTTATACTTACGTCTAAATCAAATTTTTCTCTAGAAATATTATCAACAAAATAAAATTCTTCTACAATCTTCTCAAACTTACATTAACTAATTTCTCTTTTCAACGTCCAACATCAAAGTTCTTCTGTCTCTTCCCGTTTTGGAACAGAATTCGTCTAGAATTTTTTTCAACTCGTTCTTCAGCTTCAAATCCAAACTGAAGTTGAAATTCGTCTACTTTTTCTTTTTTCTTCTCGAACTCGCGTTAATTCGCTTGTTTTTAACATCATTATGCGCCTAAATCGAAATTTTTTAGTTCTTTTCGTTTCCAGATAGAATGTTTCTAGATTTTCATTTAGAATTTTCTAGGACTCTTTCTTCAATTCAGTTTTGCACAAAACTCATTTACTTCGTCGTTCAAAATAGAATCCTTTTAGAATTTGCTTATTTCAGCTTCAAATTCTTCTAAAATCTTCTCAAACTTACATCAACTAATTTGTCTTTTCAACGTCCAACATCAAAGTTCTTATGTCTCTTCCGGTTTTGGAACAGAATTCATCTAGAATTTTTTCAACCCGTTCTTTAGCTTCAAATCCAAACTGAAGTTGAAATTTGTCTACTTTTTCTCTTTTCTTCTCGAACTCGCGTTAATTCACTTGTCTTTAACATCGTCGTGCGCCTATGTCGAAATTTTCTACTTCTTTTCGTTTCCAGATAGAATGTGTCTAGATTTTCTTTTAGAATTTTCGAAGGCTCTTTCTTCAATTCAGTTTCGCATAAAACTCATTTACTTCGTCGTTCAAAATAGAATCCTTTTAGAATTTGCTTATTTCAGCTTCAAATTCTTCTAAAATCTTCTCAAACTTACAATAACTAATTTCTCTTTTCAAGGTCCAACATTAAAATTCTTCTGGCTCTTCCCGTTTTGGAACAGAATTCATCTAGAATTTTTTCAACTCGTTCTTCAGCTTCAAATCCAAACTGAAGTTGAAATTCGTCTACTTTTTCTCTTTTCTTCTCGAACTCGCGTTAATTCACTTGTCTTTAACATCGTCATGCGCCTAAATCGAAATTTTCTAGTTCTTCTCGTTTCCAGATAGAATGTTTCTAGATTTTCTTTTAGAATTTTCTAGGGCTCTTTCTTTAATTCAGTTTCGCACAAAACTCATTTACTTCGTCGTTCAAAATAGAATCCTTTTAGAATTCGCTTATTTCAGCTTCAAATTATTCTAAAATCTTCTCAAACTTACATTAACTAATTTGTCTTTTCAACGACTAACATCAAAGTTCTTCTGTCTCTTCCCGTTTTGGAACAGAATTCATTTAGAATTTTTTCAACTCGTTCTTCAACTTCAAATCCAAACTGAAGTTGAAATTCGTCTACTTTTTCTCTTTTCTTCTCGAACTCGCGTTAATTCACTTGTTTTTAACATCGTCATACGCCTAAATCGAAATTTTCTAGTTCTTTTCGTTTCCAGATGGAATGATTCTAGATTTTCTTTTAGAGTTTTCTCGGGCTCTTTCTTCAATTCAGTTTCGCACAAAACTCATTTACTTCGTCGTTCAAAATAGAATCTTTTTAGAATTTGTATATTTCTAGTTCAAATTCTTCTAAAATCTTCTCAAATTTACATCAACTAATTTCTCTTCTCAACGTCCAACATCAAAGTTCTTCTGTCACTTCCGGTTTTGGAACAGAATTCATCTAGAATTTTTTCAACTCGTTCTTCAGCTTCAAATCCAAACTGAAGTTGAAATTCGTCTATTTTTTCTCTTTTCTTCTCGAACTCGCGTTAATTCACTTATCTTTAGCATCGTCATGCGCCTAAATCGAAATTTTCTAGTTCTTCTCGTTTCCAGATAGAATGTTTCTAGATTTTCTTTTAGAATTTTCTAGAGCTCTTTCTTCAATTCAGTTTCGCACAAAACTCATTTACTTCGTCGTTCAAAGTAGAATCCTTTTAGAATTTGCTTATTTCAGCTTCAAATTCTTCTAAAATCTTCTCAAACTTACATTAACTAATTTGTCTTTTCAACGTCCAACATCAAAGTTCTTCTGTCTCTTCCGGTTTTGGAACAGAATTCATCTAGAATTTTTTCAACTCGTTCTTCAGCTTCAAATCCAAACTGAAGTTGAAATTCGGCCACTTTTTCTCTTTTCTTCTCGAATTCGTGTTAATTCACGTCTTTAACATCGTCGTGCGCCTAAATCGAAATTTTCTAGTTCTTTTCGTTTTCCAGATAGAATGTTTCTAGATTTTCTTTTAGAATTTTCTAGGGCTCTTTCTTCAATTCAGTTTCGCACAAAACTCATTTACATCGTCGTTCAAAATAGAATCCTTTTAGAATTTGCTTATTTCAGCTTCAAATTCTTCTAAAATCTTCTCAAACTTACATCAACTAATTTCTCTTTTCAACGTCCAACATCAAAGTTCTTGTGTCTCTTCCGGTTTTGGAACAGAATTCATCTAGAATTTTTTCAACTCGTTCTTCAGCTTCAAATACAAACTGAAGTTGAAATTCGTCCATGTTTTCTCTTTTCTTCTCGAACTCGCGTAAATTCACTTGTCTTTAACATCTTCATGCGCCTAAATCGAAATTTTCTAGTTCTTCTCGTTTCCAGATAGAATGTTTCTAGATTTTCTTTTAGAATTTTCTAGAGCTCTTTCTTCAATTTAGTTTCGCACAAAACTCATTTACTTCGTCGTTCAAAATATAATCCTTTTAAAATTTGCTTATTTCAGATTCAAATTCTTCTAAAATCTTCTAAAACTTACATTAACTAATTTCTCTTTTCAACGTCCAACATCAAAGTTCTTCTGTCTCTTCCGGTTTTGGAACAGAATTCATCTAGAATTTTTTCAACTCGTTCTTCAATTTCAAATCCAAACTGAAGTTGAAATTCGTCTACTTTTTCTCTTTTTCTGACTCTTCTTTTCCAGATAGAATTCTGCAGTCTTTTCTTTGTGCTAATTTTAAACATTTCAAAATTAAATTTAAGAAAATTATTTTTAAGAATCTAACTGAATCTACTGAAATTGAAAAATCTTCTCAAATCTGAAATCAAACCATAACCCTCTTTTTCAGGAAATCGTCATGTACCTCCACATGCTTCCCGCCAACAAGAAGAACGTCCCCGACCTGATCCGCGACCCCGTCTCGCTCATCCAGGACGTGCGCACCCTCATCGGCCTCCACCGGCAGGACAGCCGCGAGCTCGCCGTCACCGGCCGGCCCGTGCTCTTTCTGCCCGACGACCCCGAGCACCGCAAGTCGCTGTACCCGCGGCCGTTCGTCAAGACCAACGGCGGCGTGCGGCCCAAGCCGGCGTTCAAGCCGCGACCGGGCGGCGGCGGGCCGGACAAGGGCGGCCCGCGCCGCCGCCGCACCAGGTGCAAGAAGTGCGAGGCGTGCCAGCGCAGCGACTGCGGCGAGTGCAGCTTCTGCCTGGACATGGTCAAGTTCGGTGGGCCCGGACGGGCCAAGCAGACGTGCAACATGCGCCAGTGCCTCCAGCCGATGCTGCCGGTCACGGCGGCCTGCGTCCACTGCGGCCTCGACGGCTGGAACCAGACGCCGGTCACGCCGCTCCAGAAGGGGCCGCAGAGGTGCGAGAGCGCCAGCAACCTGATGGAGTGTTCGGTGAGTTTGTTTATCTTTGGGTTTTTGTCGGGGGAAAAGGGAGGTGGTGGGGCGGCGATAAGGAGGTGGGTTTTTGGGAGAAGTTGGACGAGTGGAGGGTTTAATGTGCGATTTGTAGGAGTGTTTGAGGAGTTTTTGAGTTGTGTTGGGTTTTTTTTTTTTTGAGGGGACTGGACAGCCAGGAACAAGTCAGTTCATTTATTGTTATTATTGTTATTATTATTATAAGATAAATAACATTTTCACTTTTTTTTTTTTCAAGCAAAATCTCGTGCTTTTTACTTACTGAGCGTCTAATTTAATTTCGTAGTTTTTTTTTAAACCGAGGCAAGCCTAATTTCATATTTTCGCGAAGTTTCATAACCTATAGCGCATGAAAGAGTAGATCGCCCGTTTCCGTCTGTCTATGGTCTGGATTGATTGTTGTGACTCATACTACTAAGAATTTATAAAATAACATTTCTATCGGTGGTTTATGAACCCGTTTTTGCAAAAGTGCATGTTATTAATATTGCTTATATTTCACTAGTAAATTTTTACTTAGAGAATTAACTTCACAACTTGATTATTTCAGGAAATGATAATTAGTTTCACATTGTAGATACAAAATTAATTTCCCACTGTCTTAAAATTTCAAAGAAAATGTATGAAAGTGTATAATTTCTTTTAAGTATACTTTCGCATTTATTGATGATGGTGGTTGATGATGATAATAATAAAACTTAAAACCCCAATAAATACTTCCAAAAAATTTAAATGATTTATAATTTAATATGGGATGTTGTAATTTTTCCAAAACGACGAACTATTTTTTTTTAATTCATTGCTTTAAATCATTATATCAGTGTTTTTGTAAAGAGAAGTTAATTATTATTAAATAATCGAAAAAACTAAAATCAATGCAGCAGTGGTTGTAAAAGCTTCAAGCTGGCTTTGAAATTTCGTGTTTTTGCCGCTTTGTTATGATGATTGATGATTAGTAGTTGCCTGTCACAAATGTCAATCATAACCTAACTTTATAACATTTTTTTGATGTATTTGCCGTCAGACAATTAGACAACGAATACTTCAGCCCGAATTATGATAAATTTGCTACGGATCTCAAGGAACCGGCAAATTTAAATGTTTAAATAAAGTAGCATCTCTTATTACTTCATTGAGCTACGTACCACAGTTAATTAAATTTAATTCAACAACAAATAATCTATTATCATCTACTCATTATGAAAATGAGTCTTACATATGATACGGCAATTTTAGTGAAAATTGTATACTTATTTTTACAATTTCCAAAAAATTTACACCATTTGTGTTTTTATATAGAATGCTGTCATTTTTCCAAAACGACGATCTACGAACAATTTTTTTTATTCATTATCATTAAATCATTATACCTGTGCAAAACAATTGTATCTTAAACGGTATATTGCAACTTTATGTATGTCAGTGTCTACTGTTACCTGTCAAATGAGCAACGCATATTTCAACATTAAGGTATGTAAAACAAAAACCTGAAAGGTTTTTACATTTTTTCAAAGTCGATATTTCAGATATATCGAACCATAAATACCAAGTTCAATGTCAAGTTGCTTATTGTACAAAAAGCATCATTGATATTTTTTTCCACAAAGAAGTTTTTATTAGATATTCGAAGAAACGAAGAAAACAATGTAGCAGTGATTATAAAAGATTGTACATCAAGCTGGCTTTGAAATTTCGTGTTTTTGCCGCTTTGTTGTGATGATTGTTGATTACTAGTCGCCTGTCACAAATGTTAATCATAACCTAACTTTTTAACATTTTTTTTTTAATGTATTTGCCGCCAGACAATTAGACAACGAATACTTCAGCCCGAATTATGATAAATTTGCTACGGATCTCAAGGAAGCGGCAAATTTAAATATTTAAATAAAGCAGCATCTCTTATTACTTCATTGAGCTACTTACCACAGTTAATTAAAATTAATTCAACAACAAATAATCTATATTATCATCTACTCATTATGAAAATTAGTCTTACATCTGATACGGTAATTTTAGTTAAAATTATATACTTATTTTTGCAATTTCCAAAAAATTTACACCATTTGTGTTTTTATATAGAATGCTGTCATTTTTCCAAAACGACGATCTACGAACAATTTTTTTTATTCATTATCATTAAATCATTATACTTGTGCAAAACAATTGTATTTTAAACGGTATATTGCAACTTTATTTACGTCACTGTCTACTGTCACCTGTCAAATGAGCAAAGCATATTTCAACATTAAGGTATGTAAAACAAAAACCTGAAAGTCTTTTACATTTGTTTAAAGTCGATATCTCAGAACCATAAATACCAAGTTCAATGTCAAGTTGCTTGCTATACAAAAAGCATCAATGATATATTTTTTCTACAATACACAGAAGTTTTTTATTAGATATTCTAAGAAACTAAGAAGACAAGTGATTATAAAAGATTCTACATCAAGCTGGATTTGAAATTTCGTGTTTTTGCCGCTTTGTTGTGATGATTGTTGATTACTAATCACCTGTCACAAATATGAATCATAACCTAACTTTTAATATTTTTTTATGTTTTTACCGTCGGGCAGGTGGATAACGAATAACACAACTCGAATTACTATAAATTTACTACATATCTCCAGGAGGCGGCAAATTTAAGTGTTTAAATAAAGTAGGGTCTCTTGTACTAACTACATATTTTTGTAATTTTATTAGTAGCACTACGAAACTTCAAAAAAATTAAAATTATTTGTGATTTTATTTGGGATGCTGACATTTTTCCAAAACGACGAATTGTTTTTTAATTCAATACCATTAGATAGATCATTATATCGGTGCAAAATAATTGAATTTCAGACGGTATACTGCGACTTTGTTTATGTCAAGATCTGCTGTCACCTGTCAAATGAGCAGAGCATACTCCAACATTAAAGTCGAAAACATAAAGGTGAAAGGTTTTTACATTTTTTTCAAAATCGATATTTCACATATGTATATTGCGCTATAAATATCAAATTCAATGGCAAGTTGCATACTATGCAAAAACTGCCATCACTATGTTTTTGTAAAAAGAAGTTTTTTATTAGATTTTCTAAGAAACTAGAAAGAATAAAGCTGGCTTTGAAATTTCGTGTTTTTGCCGCTTCGTTGTGATGACTGATGATTACTAATTGCTCGTTACAAATGTCAATTATAACCTAACTTTTTTGACATTTTTTGATATATTTGCCACCAAGTAGACAACGAATAATTTATCTCGAATTAAGATAAATTTGCTACGTGTCTCAAGGAAGCGGGAAATTTAAATATCTAAATAAAGTAGCAACTTTTGTAGCTAATTAAAGTAAATTAAACAACAAATAGCCTATTATTATCTACTCATTAGGACAATAAGTGTTACATATGTATGATACGGTAACTTTCGGTGAAAATTATGTACATATTTTTGCAATTTTATGTACCTGTATGAAATTTTAAACCGTTTTTACCGATCCTGTACGTACCATCTAAAAAATCCTGATGAAGTTGAAAACCCCAACTAAAATTTGTGTGAAAAACTGATTGAAAATTTAGTTAAATTTCAGCTTGAATTTTTTTTTTTTCGCTTGTTCCGCAACTGTCACATTTTGTGTGGAATTAATACACATCTGAAAAAAAAATGAACAAATTATATCAACATCATTATAAACTCAAATAAAAAAACGCCAAATGTAAATGCAAATTCGACATAAATGAATAAATCATTTTCATTAAAAAGCGAAAAAAGCATCAACCATCTATCGACACAAACAATACATATTTCATTCGAGCATGAATTATTAACGCTCTAGACGTATTAATGTTTCTTTTACATTCGGTGTCGACACAGCGGGAGCTTCCATTTTAAAAACATTAATAAATAAAATAAATTCTGCGAGAGGTTCGCCCGTATTTTATGTGGATATTTTCATCACACCTTCCTACTGTGACGATTAACACTAAATTGAATTTTCTGCGCCAGTTAATATTCACGGCAGACTTCGCACACCGACGTCAAGCACTAACAAAACTATTAAATCTCCTGCGTCCATTCAACACACTCGACTTCGATCATTCGATTAAACTAGACTTTAATTATTTGTTTTTGCGATCCTCGAATCGCAAGTTTACGGCTGCGCGAAAACGAAGTCCGTTCTTAATTAAGACAATCTAATTTATTTTAAGGAAATTAACGTAAAACAAAACCTACCAAGTTTAAAGAAACTTAATACCCACTGTGTAAACCCGGCGCCTCCGCCATTTTTACCACATCCATTTAAACAAAGCAACTCATTAAAACTTGTTCTTCATAATTAAAGTTCGGAATGGCTTCGCAAACGTACCGATTTTTTCGCACTATCGTCGAATTTTTGGTGTTTCTTGAGGCGATCGATCGGGACGACCTTGGAACTTATTTTCCTCTCCGCTAATCCACAAATGTCGGGAATTCGTCTGAAGTTTACTCATTTGAAAGAACAGGTGTGCTACAGAGGAGGTCGTAGTTCGGCGAACTAGTTTTAACGCTGATTGAGTGAATGTACGAGTTCAAAGCGATACGGGGAGATTTATTTGCTGGCGAGGTTGCTCTTCGTTCCACGATAAAATAAAATGATATTTTTGCTTTTAACGAACGATAAACGGCGATATTAGGGGGAATTTTATCTGTTTCGTGAAGCGGGAATTCGAGCTCTCCCTGAAGAATTGGAAAAATGGGGGAGTGCGAGATGTGAGAAAGATTTTTTTGATAAAAGGCGGAATCATGAACCACATATATATGGTGATTTTTTTTGTTTCAGGTGTGTTACGAGATCGCCCACCCCATGTGCGTGCAGCGGCTCTGCCCCGACTTCACCGGCTACATCAACGAGGACATGCCCAACTCGTGGGAGTGCCCCATGTGCTGTAAGCTCGGCAAGAACACCGACTACCGACCGCGCCACTTCCGCGCCCGCCAGAAGTCCTCGGACATGCGCAGGATGTCCATCAGCTCCGACGCGTCGAGCGCCTTCGACAACAAGGTCCACCAGGAGCACTACTCGGACTCCGGCAGCGAAAACGACAATAAAGACAACAAAGACCTGCTCCCCATCAAGAAGCGGCGCAGCAGCGAGGGCGCCGACATCGAGACCAAGACCCAGACCAGCGACCTGCCCCGGAAGACCGCCTTCCGGATGCAGCTAGCCCAGCAAATCGCCAGCAACTCCACCAAGCTGCTGAAGAAACCCATGGTGGTGGTGCGGCCCGCCCCCATCATGATGATGAACCCCCTCCCCACCAACAACCTGGCGCTGGACAAGCGCTGCGTGCTCAACGTCTTCAGGTACCTCAACCCGCAGGACCTGCTCGTGTGCGCGCTCGTGTGCAAAACCTGGGCCACCTACTCCATCGACCCGTCGCTGTGGCGCGTCATGGAGTTCACCAGGAAGCACATCTCGTCGGACATCCTCAAAGGCGTGGTGCGACGGCAGCCCGAGGTGCTGCACCTCGACTGGTGCCACATCAACAAGTTCCAGCTGCCGTGGCTGATCCAGAGGCTGAGCAACCTGAAGGAGCTGAGTCTGGTCAGCGTCAACGTGAAGACGGCGATCTCGCTGCGCACGAACCACTCGGCCATGCTCAACCACCTGGACTTGAGCTTCATCTCGGACTTCAGCGACTCGGCGCTCCGGGAGATCCTGGGCCCGAACAACGACTCGCGGCGCGGCTTGGCCGACGAGAAGATCCGCTTCAGGAACCTGCGCACGCTGAAGCTCGCCGGGGACGACGTCACCGACATCGCGATGCGCTACGTCACGCAGTACCTCCCCAACCTGCAGCACCTCAGTCTGAGTCTGTGTCCGCGGATCTCGGACGCCGGGATCGCGCAGCTGACGACGAAACCGGCGAACACGCTGACGACGCTGGTCAGCCTGGATCTGAGCCACTCGAAGCTGGTCACGGAGACGAGTCTGGACCACCTGAGCAAGTGCGAGAGTCTGGTGAGGTTGGACTGTAGACACGCGCTGCAGATTTCGACGCAAGCGCTGATCAAGTTCGCGGCGAAGAGTGATAAGAATCTGCAAGTGAGGGATATTAAGTTGGTGGACAAGAGGCAGCAGAAGGTGCAATGAGTTTGACTTGGTTTCAATTGTGATGTAATACGTAATTTTTTTTATTTATTGTTTACTTAAATTCTGCTTTATGTCTATGTTAAGACGGATGCTTATGTTTGGTTCGAGTGCAATTATGTGCACGCATTGTACATAGAGTATTATTCTTTCATAAGCATTTGGATATATTGTAACGATAGGAAATGAAAATACAATTTTTATATTATTCTTCAGGGTTTCATTTCTCAGATACGAAAAATGATTTAAAGTTAATTCAGTTCTTTTTTTAATAAATAAATAAATACGAGGTGACTATTAATGACTGAAGCAAATTTTTGTGTTGGCAATCCTGAATTATTCACAATTGTCAATTTTGACATGAGCGCCCCTAAAAACCAATAAGAAGGTGGCAGTTACTGAATTGGCGCCCAAAATTTGAAATTGTCGTCAGGTATGTCATCATAAAAAAATAGAATTTCAACAAAAGTGTTAGAGTAGCTTTCAACATGAAATGGTACAGATGGTGGGAGTGCGCAGAACATTGTTTTGGTTTGGCCTTACAAATATCGTGCAAGCAGTGGCAGCGGCGATGAATATTTCAATTTTGAGATATTAAAATATTATTGCAGTTAATAAAAATATCACTTTTCTATTTTATTAGCGTTGACATTAGAGAAAAAGAATTTAAACAATTGTTAGTGCTGTATTTGAAGTATGAGTTGAATAAAAAAGTAAGTAAAAGAAGTAAAAAGGTAATTTTTAGTGAGCAATAATAACTGTTCAATTATGGTACAGTCGAAGCTCTAGTTATAAACGACAATTATGCTAGAATATGAACCGTGATTATTACTTCGATGTTAAAGACAGAAAACGTTAAGCCTTATAATCCGACTTTACGGTATCGATAAATTGTACCAGAAAATTAAAAACCATATAATTATAGTCATAGGTTACTTATTCTCAGAGTTTTATCTAAAGATTTAACTGTTGATTTAAGACTAGTCGACTATAAAATAGTATATGATACTGGTTTATAATGAGGGGTTCGTGAAATTTTTTACTCATGCTATAATCCCTCACATTATAAACTCGTTTAATAATTAAAAAATACCAAATTTTGTGTGATAGATTATCATAATTTATTGTTAGGTAAGTCTATTTTTTTAACAAATTAATTTATTTTTATTAAATGGTTGTCTGTATTCTTTTGTAGAAATTGCTCTTTTTTTAATTGTTTTTGAAAGAAGTATAACTCAGCCAAGCCTCCCTTCTCAATGCATCGATGTTACGCCACTGATGGCCCGGCTACAAGTCGCGCAACTTAAGCCCCGCCCCTGTACCCTTTCGTGGTGAAATTACTTCTAATTATGAAACGCTGACGTCACTGAAAAAACTGTACAGAACTGATTTTAGAAGACTGGGGTTGGAAAGCATAATTTGTATGATTCTGATGATCATATTCATAAGTATGTAAAACTGAAACAAAAAATTAATTGGGCCACTACAGAGGAAGATTGTCTGAAAAGTAAATAATAAAACTGTTTTTGTAAAGTTTTTTTTATCTTCTTTAATTCAGAATTTCTATAACTAAAAAGAATCTAAAGCCCCTTGAAGATTCGATTTATGGAGACCTCGGTAATAGATCTATTTGTCTTATCTACAGGACAATAAAAATAGTTTGTAGGAAGAAAATAGCAATTAATTCGTACAGACAATATAATCGTGGAATAGCAATATTAGAAGTGAAATTTTCTAGTAGATTTTTAAATCGTGACCAGTTAGCAGATAATTGTCTAACTGGTGGAATAGATCGTTCACAAAAAAATAAAATGACACAGAACTACCCGAAGCTACGCAGAGAACGAATCATGTTGTTATGAGGAGAAATGTTAGATCTATATATTACATTTTTTTAACAAAGGAATAACAAACCACTAGTTCCGTATTTCTGGCTAGAACCAGTTTTTACAGATTCGCGATATAATATGCCAACTACAATATTTTAAAAAGTAAATAGGTACACACATGTGACAGTATTTTTAAGAAAATTCTTCTTTTTTTGTATTTATACCACGATTTTTAATCTATGTCAAATGATCACGCTGATAAATGATCTAAAGGTATTTATGTCATTAACCTGAAATTCTAAATGATAGTAAATCAGTGTTGATTAAATTTATTTAGATATTGAGGGTAAATGTGAGTATTAAGTCAAAAACCGCTTAAAGATAAACACAACACAAGCAAATCAGAAAGTTCACCTCTATCTAGCCTAGTAAAAATAACAGGTGAATGTTTCTGTGACGAAATCGCAGATATAGTAAAACTATTAATAACTCAACAAAGAATAATTGATAGAAATCATTAGCTTAAAAAATAACAGAGTACCTATAAGATCTGACAAGTCGGTTAATAGGTATCTTTGTCTTTTGGAAATACCCACAAATAAAAAAACGGCTAGATATTAGCTTTAAATTTGAGGTGATAATAAATGAATCATCATCCATTTATACAAGTAACTCAGTACACATTAAACCAAAAGTGAGGAAGCATCGATTGCGTTACGGTAGTGGCTAAGATGTAGTAACACACACAAATGTCAAAGATGGGGATACTAAGTGTTTTTTTTAGACCGACTGTACGTACTGAATCAGATTTTGTTTATTTTTAAACAAGCGTAATTTCCGTAGATTAAGGAAGGTATCCAAGTCACACCTGCTGTAGAAGCTTTAGAAAAGCCGTTCGAAGATGTACCACCGGTAAGTTTAATTTTGCTTATTTTAGTCTTTGAAAAGCAGATTTTTAAATATTCGAGCAGCATATGTCACCAAATAAATACAAATAAAAATAAAGCGAAGACTGTGGAGTAAATTCTTAGGGAAAATTTAGGCTAAGGGGCCCAAAAACCTTGTCTTATTTTGTTTATTTATACCTCCTGTGGGGACAAAGCTGTTGTATGTACTTTTCAGTACTTACGACTAAGAAGAGGAAAGTCAAAAGAGATAAAATTGGCTTACGTAAGTTTATTCCAAAATGCATTTTTTATGTTTCATTGTTATGTTCACGACGCTAAATCTCGGCTGAAATTGTTAGATAAAATTTCTGCGCAGAACCAAAACTTTCAACCTTGGAGACTTCCGATTGGTAGATTGTCGAAAATGTGCAAGCAATACACTTAAAAATGACGCCATAAAAAAGAAATCGAACGCTAGATAAGATCACACTTGTTGAATTAATGACGTCGTACAAGATAGTATATTGATTGCTAATTTCTTTATCAATAAAAACAACAAGGTTAAGTTAAAACTTGACATAGTGCGTCTCATTAGTCATCACTTCATCAGATGTAAAATAAATAAATACGTTTAATTTTGTAATATTTCTATTTAAAGAAATTACACTAATAAGTCTTATCACGGTTTTGATATTTTTTGCAAAATTCAATCTAGTTTTGATTATCGAATAACATTTGTCTAGGATTTCTGCATAATTGATGTTCAAGAACCGGAACAAGAAGGAATCAATGACAATGACAACAATCTGCAGTCTGAAACGTTATCACTCGCATCGTCCAATTCAGAACACCAAAATCAAACAGAAAATTCTAGTACCAACAATGACGACCATCTACAGTCTGAAATATTATCACTGTCATCAACTAGTTCTGAACACCAAAATCAAACAGAAAATTCTAGTACCAACAATGATAACCATTTGCTGTATGAAGTATTATCACTGGCATCGACAAGTTCTGAACACGAAAATCAAACAGAAAATACTAGTACCGATGTCAAGCAACTAGCACAAGAATTCCAGAACATGAAAAAAGAACTCCAGCACCTTCACGACCTTAAAAAGGACGTAGAACATATGAAAGAGCAAGTAACACAAAATCAGAATTCTTTATCAGTAGAACAAGCGCACAGTTTGCGGTCTGAAACATGGTCGTTGGGCTCGGTTTCCAGATGTTCTGACTGCGAAAACCAACTAGAAGTTTCTAGTAGTAGAATGGAACAAGTCTATGAAGAAATTCATAAACTGAAAGAAGAAATTCGGGTTTTGAAACAAAACCAAGGTTCGTCGTTGGGAAGTGTTACAACTTCGGGGGTTGCGCCGCCTCCACCTCCTCCTCTTCCTCCTCCGCCTCCATCCCCGAACATAACTATAATAATAACGAAATCGGTAGATAAAACGAAGAACAGGAAGACAACTGAAGAGAATCAGAGGCCCCTTACATTGGAGGAACTTCTGAATCAGAAAGAGAAACTGAGGAAAACGGTTTGTATTTAATATAATTGGTGGTTTGTTTGTAACGTGATTGTAGGAGCCAGTTCCACGTCATCAGACTTCCAATGGTTCTAATGATTGTAACCAACATGGAGTTTCGCTTGAAGAATTACAAAAGGTGGTATTGAAGCCTGCGGGGAGGCGAAGACTTAAAAGCGAGTCAAATGCTACGTCTAGCACAAGTGCTTTAAAAGATAACCCTTTATTTTAGTAATTTACTAATTTTTGAAAATATTATTCTTTTACTCTTTGTATTTTCCAGATGTGACTAATATACCAAGTGATTCAATAGATTCTATAAATAGTGTACTTAGACAATTTTGGAGACTTATATTGTTATCGATTATGTAGTTTCATTTACAGTATTAGGTTTTACAAAATGATTTTGAGCCATATATCACACAGATAAGAACTGTGTGTAGTAAATGGCTTCGGTTTGAATTACGTACTATATTATCTATATATCTTGCTTTAATTATTTGTATATTTGGAGAATTAAAACGTTTCCAGATAACTTGTGTACTTTCGATGTAATATTGGTTGCATACTCCCAATCCAATTTCTCACCTTTCACCAGATGTGGGTTGGCAATGACTGACAGTACGTAGTGCGTTCCAAATTCCCCCACGTTTCAATTTGATTTTCAATTTTCCAACGACTCACGTCAAAAAAAATTGTGTGTGTGTACCCCAAAAACGCTGTATTCCGTCCGTGTACGTTAAGTATGAGCGAATAAGACAAAAACGGACCCAATTTCGTCGACCCTTCCAAATCCCGCAATGTAAACATAAATATCTCTTTTGTTGTGACAGAAGTGACGGTTACAATTCAAGCTCAAAATTGAACGGAGCATGGTTCGACGGCGAAAATCTAACAAAAATAAGCAAAAAGCGAACAACAATGTCACTACAGACGCCACGCTCACAAGCGCCGACAATTTCACGTGTAAAACCCAGTCCATTTCCGTCACCCCCAAGTGCAGCACCCCTACGGAGCCCCCTGATAGGAATAAGTCGCGCTCTAATATTAGAACCACCCCCGTCAACAAAGAGCGCTTCCAGAGGAGACGCGGCAGCTTCAACAGGACCATGAACGTGACAAACTTGAATATTCTGTTCGACTCGAGCTACATCAACCAAGGGACTCCGCCCCACGACGACAGCAAGAGCGTGCGCACCCCGAAGGCCAACGAAAGCATGCAGACCGTCAACGTGAACGAGAACATCGTGGAGACGCCCCGAGTGAGCCAGTACAGCCTCATCGACGACATCGTCTCCCAGCTCAAATCCCCCGCGAAAGCCCCCTTGGACAAAAGTAAAATTCACTATATCGATTCTCACGTTAACTTAAACCCGTATATCCAACACGCAGACGTTAGGTTCGTCAAGGAGCCGAGTTTTGGCGAAATTTCGTTTTTCACTCCGCAGCTGTATAATAAGTTGGCGTCGACGCCCATCGACAAAATCGCCGACTTGATGAAAAGTTCGCCGATTAAAGAGAGTCCAAATAACGTCAACAGCAATGTTGACGCCGTCAAAGTCGATAAGGTTTCGAATTTCGCGTTTCAGTCGACGCCGTTGAACGACAACACGGATAGGGAAAATCTCTTGAATTTGCAGCGCAGTAAGACGGTTTCGCCTAAGACTCACCGCCAGAAAAATTTTACTATAGTGCATAATTTGTCGAGGGTTTCTAAGTCTAATTCCGGGTATCGAACGTTTTCAGCCGAGCAGAGCGAGAGGGGGGTCGATGTGGTCTTCAGCAGGTTGAAGAGGCTGAGCAGAACCTCGATCAAGTGGACGTTTAAAATCGTCGACTGGTGTAACTACATTGGGGTGGCTTTGAGGAAAGTAAGTACATGCTGAAACAAAAAAATTGACGTAAGATTGTATGGTGTAAAGCTGTCTTCACACGATCGCTCTCACGTCACCCGTCACACCAAATCAGCATAATCTACAACTTCGTTTTTTTTTTTTCTGTAGAGCTTATCGTCCCTCTGCAACACCTACCGCTCCCAACCCACCTCCGCCAACTCCTCCTCCTCCACCTCCTTGTGTCGATGCAGCGACTACCAATACCAACTGAAGAACTGCACTACCGAGATCGAGCAACTCCGGTCCGAACTCGTGCAAGTCCGCAACCAGATGGAGTTCCAGACAACTTACCAAAACGAAATCAAGCAGCTCACCCAAGAACTGCAAAAAATCCGACAAGAGTTTGCGGAATTCCACGAGTTCCGGGTGGAGTTCAACGACTGGAAGGACCACACGAAGCACAGTCCGAGGGCTATAACGCCTGGGTGCGCGCCGCCTCCGCCCCCGCCGCCGCCTCCACCGCCCCCGCCTCCGCCGCCCATCGCCAATAAGTCCGTCCCTTTGAAACCGAAGAAGAACAACAAAAGCAACAAGGAGAATTCGAGACCGATTATCTCGCTGGACGACATACTTAAAGTGAAGTTGAAGAAGGCCACGGTTGGTAGTGTTAATGGGGTTATTTTGATTTTTAATAGAGGGGTTTCAGGAGCGCCCTACGCCGCATAGACGCACCTCGCAGCCTTTGGTGTCGTCCGAGATGCTGAGGCAGGTGAAGCTGAAGCCCCCTTCCAGGCCCGAGACGCCTGTGAGCGAGGTGTTCTCCACCAGCCCCCATTCCAGCTTGACGAGATTGTTGATCGATAATTCCTCTGTAGGAAAGGTTAAAAGGCTAAAAAGGGTGGGAGGTTATAGTTTTGATGAATTTTACAGACGAAGCCAGCTGGCGAAACAAGAGAGGGAGCGAACGTACAACTGAACGAGATTTTTTAGAAAGAGGGACGGTATATTTTATTTTAGATGCAAATTTTTATATTGTTTATTTACATTTACGTTTTAAATACATTAAAGGTGTACCAAAGCTCAGGTGTCGCTGCGAAGTTGTAGACCTTTCATGTATTTAAAATGTACATGTAAATAAAAAGCAATTTTTATATCTGAATTTATATTGTGATAGATTTCGAAATATTAAAATATTTTTTTATGGTTTTTAAATTTCTCGTTTACAAGGTGCACGTAATTATTAAAACTGGCAAAACCTGACAATCGAAATTCGCGGGGAATCTAAATTCTGCTATTGGCCCTGTGATAACCCAAACTTCCCGCCTCAAAATTTGACCTTGAAAACAGTTTGAAAGGCCCGCAAAAAATTTAAAAATTCAAAGTTTGGCCTTGGCTGTGATCGTCTAACAAATAAGAACCTACGTTGTGTTTTTTTTTTGTTTTTGAAAAATGGCGGGAAGACGTTCTTTCATACAAGTGCATACACTGTCGAGAGCGCAAGAAATAATAGACAAAAATTGGTTTGGAGGGGGAGAAACGGCACCACCCTCACAGGGGGAAAGACGCTGCGAAGAATTACCCCTCAGCGTAAAAACCCCCGTTGGTTTTATTCCCGGACGACATATTATTACATTTCAAACACCTTAAGATATGTGAAAGAAAAACACTCGCGAATTGACAAACATACACACACGAAAAACGAACAAACGGAAATTCTGTACATCTGTTTGGAATCAATGCAAATATTTGAATATCACAAATTTAATAAAACAAAGCAAAAGCTGAATCAAGTAATCTGGATGCAAGTACACAAGTTATTACAGGCATGTGGCGGCCGATCTCCCTTTTCCTTTTTTTTTTGTTACGGCAGTTAACAGGACCACAAGAAAGGTACCCCTGGAGCGTTGTGGCATAAGCGGAGTCTGAGCTACCGGTCTGGAACTGTTCTCCCCCCGCGACGGTGATTCTATCTATCGCAAAGCCTACCCCACACGCATATCCCATGACGAACTTTGCCCTGCGGAACTAGGCCATTACGGTCGTCCAACCCGCAAAGATCTCGACTATTGGGCCAAATCGAGAAATTCACAACGTCGGCGGCCGCCCCCTGAATCTATCCAAACCTGTGGACTTGTACAGGTGGCGCGATAAATCTCGCCAGCTCGACTAGGAACCAAACCTCGCTTCTGCCACGTTTTCTGTGTCATTTAACCTCAATTCCATTTTAAAACATTCAATCTCTTATAACTCTGATGTTAACAACAACTGAACAAGTGTTAAAGTTTCAAGGAGCAATAAACAACATTTAAATTCGCCATACAATCTTGTGAAATCTTAAACAACAAATAATTCTTATGTGGGATTAAAGTTGGACATCAAATAATTTATATGATAGAAAACATTCATCAACAAAGTATTTACAAAACAAAACTTAGCAAGGATTTATGAGACGAAAGGTCTGGTGTGAAGTAAACTTGTACAAATAGAAATGTTATGTGAGGTTAGAACTGTAGAACATGAAATTTACGTTCAATTAAATTTATACAACAAATAAAATTACTGAGGTTAAGATTGTGAGATTAAGAAATATAGTATGATGTGAAAAATTGCAGAGTTAACATAATTTACAGGAGATTAATATTTGCCACACTTTATCAACAGTTCAAACAAAGAGTTTACATTATGCCAAATTATATCATGATCTAAATGATTGGTTACTTCAAAAATAATTTACTTTGAGAAGTTAAAATACTACGAACTGGTTACCCCAACAAAACACATAATAAACAAATACAAAAATATCCAATCATCGCTCCGAGGGAAAAAGCGTCTCGGTGATGTAAATATCCAAAATCGTTGCGAGGAAAAAGCGTCTCGGTAATGTAAATTTTCTGTAGCGTTGGGGGCATGCCTTAATTAATTAATCAATCTGGCGTTGCGAAACATGCCCCGATGAATTAATCGTGATAACGATGATAACCACCTAAGGGGAGAAAATATCATAACCCCCCGCCAGTCCGCAGTATAATGAACTTGTTTAACTGCCGTAAATGAACTATTAGCAATCTTGTGTGAAGAATTTAGAAGTGTTATAATGTAACACTTACGTATATGCATCCAGAGACCTATTCGTAATTAAACATAAGGTGTTTTTCCTGACTAAGTGAATTTCATGAAATCTTCTAGCAAATGGTTAATTTAAATAATCCTGATTGTTAAATTGTGTTTGCACTAGCTGACTATTAAGAAAAACTAGCTTGATTGGTGAATTTACAAACAAAGAAACAGATTCACAACACGTGTCCGCGTCCGACCGGAAGTCTGCAATTTTCGATTAAAAGGGCGCAAGAATTTACCGCGCGGGTTGGGGACAACTGTATCATTATGAAAAATACGTTTGATCGTCGTTAAACAAAGGCTTCCTCCCGTTTTATTAACTACCAAACCAACTAATTTAAACCTAGCGCTTACCACGTGGTCACACACACACAGCCACATTCGTAATGAATCTACCATGCGGTTTTTCTACCAACCCTCTAACTGAAATTACCCTAGCGCTACGTGCTGCCACCTACTCAAAGATCATGCAAACTAACCCCTAAGCGCTACGTGCATTAGACCCAAAGACTTCAAATATAAATAGACTGGCTGTCACCCTAAATTCTATTGTATTTCGTGAAGCAGTTCTGTCAACAGAAATCGCCGCCATTGCTGGTCCCTTTCTGTCAATTCTGACCCAACTTAACCTTTAAACGGAACTATCGTTCTCAGTTTTCGAGTTTTCGTTAATAGAAGTAGGAAAGTCTGTTTGTTGGGTGCTGAGTGTGGCTGTTATTTGTTGTTTTTTTTTTTTTTGTTTATTGGACCTAGCTCCTGGTCAATGGTGTCGCGTTTGTTACGACAGTATTTAATAAATTAAGTGAACTTTGAACGAAAATGCCAGTAAGCTGCGGTGTACGGTGGTATCGTAATTCGAAACAAAAAAGTAGTGGTCAAAAAGGTATTTTATTTCATCGGCAACACCTTACTATTCCAAATAAACTTGTTAAGATCGTGTTTTAATAACTTTGAAATTGTTGACATTTTAAATTCGGCGCGATTTTGGGACTAAGCAATATGGCGACTGCCGGCTTCAAGTTTTAGGCCACATAGCCGGTCTATACATATTTAAAGTCTCTGATTAGACCATCCATGCATATTTGGTTGCCTATGTTTAAGGATTTCCTTTTTGTGATTGAACTCTTTTTTTTTCAAATTAAAATTATTCAAATGTGATTTCGCGCCGTTGTCAATTAATTTCAGCGCGAAAAGTTTGATTTAAATTCGGTCACCACAGCCCATTAAAGCTCATGTCTCATTGGCTAACACTTGAGTGACATGCGTAATTCCAACGCGGCCTAAATTCCGTACCTTCCAGACGACGATCATTCCGTAGGAATGCCGCTTTAGTTTCTAGGGAGTTTATCGCCGCCATGTTGCTCCACAGCCAATGTTATTGACACCGGCCAAAACATCAATAAATCGTGATATCCCGTGCAAACAACTTTCATACAAAAGCCCCCTTTGTGATGCTTACGTTTTCAATCAAACGCCCCCTCAAAACCCCCTGAATAACACAATGTGCGTCTTCAGCGTCACCGGTTAAACATAACCTCACTTTACGATGGGAATCGACTTCGACATTTTAGAGCATTGTAAGAAGGTCCGGGCGGACCACGGGCCCCCTTACACTTGTCCGATTGAGAAATGCGGCCGCACTTACAAGTCGGTTTGTGGTTTACAATACCATTTGAAGAGTTACGACCACGATAACCCGACTCCGTTGCCCCCATGCACACCCAGCACCCCCAAAAGCAAAAAGGGTCGGGCTAGGGCTACGCCCGCCACCGTACCGTCGGCCCCCAGCGTGCCTGAGCCTCTGACGTTCGAGGAAGCCCAGAAGATGGTGCAGTTCGATATAAATGGGCAAGTGGTGAGGTGGAATATAAACGACCCGTTGGATATGGTGGCAAAAGAGGATTTATCAGACGATGACATTCCAAATATTGAGAGATTTGAGCAAGCGCAAGGTGGGTGATGCGAGTGTTTGTAAAAATGGTGAATTTGTGTTTTAGAGCCTTCAGCGCAGTTACCGGAAGCCAGCTTCAAAGAACTCGATAATTACAACATTTGTGATGCGCCCCCGCGTCCCAACGCGTACATTAGGTTCATCGAGAAAAGCGTGGAGGAATTAGACGGAGAAGTACAAATAATCGTCGATTTTGTGGTTGCTCGGTTCTAAAATTCGCTTTCAGGTGGAGTACGACGTGGACGAAGAGGACACCACCTGGTTAGCTTTAATGAACGAAAAGCGTGAAGCCGCAGGTTTGAGTCCCGTCTCGGTGGACTCTCTCGAGCTTTTGATGGACCGTTTAGAAAAAGAGTCCTACTTTCAGGTAATACCCTACTGTATCATTTTTTTCTCGTGTCTGCAATGTGTGTATTGTTTAAAGGTCTATCACGTAAATGGTCAGGTTTGCACATAATTCTCGACTTGGCAAAAGTGTGGGTTTTAGTTCCTTTGTGTTTCAGGCTTCTGTTAACGGGCATACGGGGGTTGTTGTGGATGACGATGCCGTCTGCTGTATTTGTATGGATGGTGAATGTCAAAACACAAACGTGATTTTGTTCTGTGACATGTGTAATCTTGCCGTGCATCAGGATTGTTATGGCGTACCTTACATCCCAGAAGGACAGTGGTTGTGCAGACGGTAAAACCCCCTCATTGTTAATTTAAAATAAAAGCGCTGTTGTTTTTTTGCTTGATTTGTAGATGTTTGCAGTCTCCTAGTCGTGCCGTGGACTGCGTGCTGTGCCCCAACCAAGGGGGCGCGTTCAAGCAGACGGACAGGGGCCACTGGGCTCACGTCGTGTGCGCTTTGTGGATACCCGAAGTGAGATTTGCGAATACCGTGTTTTTAGAACCTATCGGTGCGTTTATTTGAATTTTTGTGAGTTTTTGTGTGACTTTGGGTGTTTCAGATTCCATTGAAACCATTCCAGCAGCTCGGTGGAAGCTGACTTGTTACGTTTGCAAGCAGAGAGGTGTGGGGGCGTGTATTCAGTGTCATAAGACTAATTGTTATTCGGCGTTTCATGTCACTTGCGCACAGCAAGCCGGTTTGTATATGAAAATGGACACGGTGAAAGACTCCGGGGATTCCCAGCCCGTTCTTGTGCAGAAGATTGCGTACTGCGATGTACATGCGCCGGTCGAGACGAGTGAGTATTAAGTGGGGTTTGGCGGTGTTGCGTGTCGGGTTGGCGCTGCATAATCGAACGTTTTTTGTATTTTCGAAAAAGAAAAAAAATGTTTATGTTGTATTAATATGCAAAAAAAACCTTTAGTTTTAATGTGGTTGCTAACTGGTATGTGAATTATGAATCCCATAGGGGTTTTTTTCACACTAAAATTTATTTACGTCAAAAACGGTTTTTATTCTATTTTTCTTTTAACTCCTTTTTTTTGACATTTTTTTTTATAATCGTGTTTTTCCCTCATATTTTTGGTGTTTTTTTTTCCACTTTTATAGTCGTATTTTTTGTAGCCGTTTTTTTATAACTTTTTTTTATATATTTTTTTAACGCTTTTTTCTAATCGCGTTTTTTCCTCATACTTTTGGTGGACTTTTTGTCGCAATTTTTGACTTAATTTTGGTAGTCGTATTTTTTGTTGCCTTTCTTACCGTTTTTTTAATTGGCTTTCTTTTCAACCTTTTGTTCCCCTTTTTTGTCATTTTTCTCGTCATATTTTTTGTAGTCATTTTTGTTGCTTTTTTTACCTTCTCTTTTGTGCCTTTTTTTGTTCGTTTGAGCCCTTCTATAATTACGTCATTATAATTTTAACACCATTTTTTCACATTTCGTCACCTGTTTTACTCTATTTTATGGTTGCTTTTTTAGTCGCCTAATTTTTTTTTTTACACTTTTTGTCGCAATTTTCATCACATTTTTGCGACTTTTTGAACTCCTTTCTTTAGTCGCCTGTTTTAACTTTTTTTTTACGTTTTTTGGTTCTTCGTAATAATTTTTAATGCCATTTACTGACGCGCTTTTTTTTGTGTAGCGTTGTTTGTTGTCGCTTTTTCCTAACTCGCCTTTTTTTTTCGTTGTTTTGTTAGTCTTTTTTTTGTCGTTTTTTGTCTATTTTTTTGTGTTTTTTGTCCTCTTTTTTTCCATTCCTCTTTGACGTCCTTTTATTTTTTCTGCCATTTTTTATTACCTAAAACTATTTTTGTCGCTTTTTTGCTGTCTTTTTTTGAGGCTTTTTTACAACGTTTTTTCGCCTTTCTATTTATTTTGCCTTTTTTTTCGTGAGCATTTTTTTACTTCATTTATTGGTGTCATTTTTGAATGCTTTTTTCGCTTTTTTTTGTCGTTTTTCTACGATTCTTGTGTGCGGTTTTTTAATTTTTTTATGGAGTCTCTTGTGTTGTCGTTTTTCCGCTTTTTTGTTAATTTTTTTTTTGTTCGTCCCTTTTTTGTATTTTTTTTTTTGTAATTTCTTGTATAATTTTTTTGTGGTTTCTTGACCCCTACCTTTTTGCATCTTTTTTTTTTGTTGATTTTTTTACGTTTTTAGACACGTTTTTGCTCCTTTTTTACCTTTTTAAATAACTTTTTACGCCGTTTTTTTTCATTCTTAAAGTCTCCTTTCTTCACTCCTTTTGCATAATTTTTTTTTACACTTTTTTCACGATTTTTCGCCTTTTTTTGTCGTTTTTTTCTTGATAGCTTTTTGGCACCTTTTTTGCTTTTTTTAAGTGTTTTCACTTGCTTTTGCTTTTTTTATGTCGCATTTTCTGTTTCTTTTTGTTTTTTTTTGTCGCTTTTTCCTAACTTGCATTTTTCGTATTTTGACCCCATCTTTTAGCGCTTTTTTTTAGCTACTTTTTTGACATCCTTTTTCATTATCTTTTCTTTAACTTCTTTTACGTTTTTTTTTTTTCTGTTTTTCACCCCATTTTATAGCTTTTTTGAGATCCTTTTTTTTGTCGCTTTTCTATGAACTTTTATTCTAACTCGAATTTTTTCGTTCTTTTGTTTGCCTTTTTTTGTCTCATTTTTTAATGCTTTTTTAATCAATTTTTCGATTTTTTTGTCGTTTTTCTACGATACTTGTGTGCATTTTTTCACATTTTTGCAATGGAGTCTCTTGTGTTGATTTTTTTTTGGTTTTTTTCTTAAGTTTTTTTGTTGTTGGTCTCCTACCTTTTTATTGCATCTTTTTTTCCAACTTTTTTCTGTTGCCTTTTTACGTTTTAGACACTTTTTTGCTCGTTTTTTACCTTTTTATACAGCTTTTTTTACGCTTTTTTTTCATTTTTTAAATCTCCTTTTTTCACTCCTTTTGCATCATTTTTATCGTTTTTACACTTTTTCTGTCGATTCTTCGCTTTTTTTGTCGTTTTTGCCTCGCTAGCCTTTTGGCACCTTTTTGCTTTTTTTTCGCCTTTTTTTTTGTTTTATCACTTGCTTTTGCTTTTTGTATGTCGTATTTTCTGTTTCTTTTTGTTCTTTTTTTGGCGCTTTTTTGTGGTCCTTTGTCACTTTTTGGTCACCTTTTTTGACTTCCTTTTTCATTATCTTTTCTTTAATTTCTTTTACGTTTTTTTGGTCTTTTTCCACCCCATTTTATAGCTTTTTTCTCGCTTTTCCAAGAACCTATTTTTTCTTTTTTTTTTTCCTGGAATTTTTTCCGTGATTTTTTTTGTCACTTTTGACTCTTTTTTTTTTTGTTTTTGTTTTGCACTTTTTTTGTGTGTGTCATTTTTTGTTGTCGTTTTTTCTTAACTCGATTTTTTCGTTCTTTTGTTTGCCTTTTTTGTCGTTTTTGTCTCATTTTTGCGTTTATTTTTGTCCTTTTTTTATTGTTCCTTTTCCATTTCTTTTTGAGGTCCTTTTATGGTGTTTTCCCCTCATTTTTTTAGTCGTCTTTTTTGCGTAAAATTATTTTAGTCGCTTTTTGCGGTCTTTTTTGACGCTTCTTTATCACGTGTTTTCGCTTTTTTTTTTTTAATTTATTTTGCCTTTTTTTTTGTGAGCTTTTTTCACATTTTTTTTAGTTCATTTTTTTGGTCGCATTTTTAAATATATTTTTTTATCACTTTTCCCTTTTTTTGTCGTTTTTCTACGATTTTTTGTGCATATTTTTTCACGTTTTTTTTTTAATGGTATCTCTTGCCTTCTCTTTTTTTCCGTCTTTTTTCTTAACTTATATTTTTCTGTTCTTTTTTTTGTCGTCCCCTTTTTTGGCATTTTTCGTATATTTTTTTTTATGGTATCTTGACCCCTACCTTTTTATTGCATCAATTTTGTTTGTTGCTTTTTTACGTTTTTTGACATTTTTTGCTCCTTTTTTTACCTTTTTATAGCCTTTTTAAACCGTTTTCTTTTTCAGTTTTTAAATCTCCTTTTTTCTCTTCTTTTGCATCATTTTGATCGTTTTTTACACTTTCTCCCACGATTTTTCGCCTTTTTTTATGTCGCATTTTCTGTTCCTTTTTGTTATTTTGTCGCTTTTTCCTAACTCTCATTTTTCGTGTTTTGATTTCCTTTTTCATTGTCTTTTCTTTAACTTCTTTTACGTTTTTTTTTTTTTGAGCTCCTGTTTTTGTCGTTTTTTTAAGAAATTGTTTTTCTTTTTTTTCTGTAATTTTTTCCGTAATTTTTTTGTCACTTTTTACTCTTTTTTTTAGTATATTTTTTTGTTCTTGTTTTGCACTTTTTTTTTTGTGGTATTTTTTGTTGTCGCTATTTCTTAACTCGACTTTTTTCGTTCTTCTGTTCGCCCTTTTTTGTCTCATTTTTTGTGTTTCTTGTCTTTTTTTCAATTGTTCGTTTTCCATTTCTTTTTGACGTTCTTTTATGTTTTTTTTTTGCACTCATTTTTTAGTCGCTTTTTTTATTGCCTAAAACTAACGTGTTTTCGCCCTTTTATTTATTTTGCCTTTTTTTGACTTTTTTTTTTTCTTAATTTTTGTCGTATTTTTTAATGCCTTTTTTAATTACTTTTTCTCGTTTTTTTTGTCGTTTTTCTACGATTTTTTGTGTGGATTTTTTTTGCCTTATTTTTGTAGTCGCTTGTGTTGTCTTTTTTTTGTGTTTTCTTAACTTTTTTTTTGTCCTTTTTTTTGTCGCCCCTCTTTTTTTGTATAATGTTTTTGTGGTTTCTTGACCTCCACTTTTTTATTGCATCTATATTTCCATCCTTTTTTTGTTGCTTCATTTAAGTTTTTTGACACTTTTTGCTCATTTTCTTTTACCTTTATATAGCCTTTTTTACGCCGCTTTTTTTTTCATTTTTTTTTAAATTTCTTTCACTGCTTTTGCATCGTTTTTATTGTTTTTGTTTTACATTTTTTTCTCACTATTTTTGGCCTTTTTTTTCTCGCTAGCTTTTTGACACCTTTTTTGCTCATTTTTTTTTGCTCTCCTCCCCCTTTTTTTGTTTTATCACTTGCTTTTTCCTAGCTCGCATTTTTCGTGTTTTGACCCCATTTTTTGAGATCTTTTTTTTTGACGCTTTTCTAAGGACCAGTTTTTTTTCTTTTTTTTTTTTGCTTGAATTTTTCTTTGGTATTTTTTATCACTTTTTACTATTTTTTTTTAGTCAATTTTTTGCTCTTGTTTTTACTCTTTTCTCGCGTTGTTGTTTTGTCACTTTCTTTTTCATTTTTTTTTGTGTCGAATTTTCTGTATTTTTTGTTATCTTTTTTTGTCGTCTTTTTTTGTCGCTTTTTTCCTAAATCGATTTTTTGTGATCCTATGTCATTTTTTTAGTCACCTTTTTTTATCGTCTTTTCTTTAACTTCCTTTACGTTTTCTTGTTTTTTTTTTCGCCCCATTTTATAGCCTTTTTGAGGTCCTTTTTTTCGTCACCTTTCTAAGAACCTGTTTTTTTCCTGGAATTTTTTCCGCGATTTTTTTTTCACTACTCCTTTTTTAGTATTTGTTTTTTCTCTTTTTTCGTACCCTTTTTGTGGCCATTTTGTGGACCTTTATTTTTCATTTTTAATTTTTTTTTTACCTTTTTTTTACATTTTTCTACTTTTTGTCCGCCCTATGTCGCGCTGTTTATGTATCTTTTTTGCCAACTTTTACGCTTTTTTTTTCACCCCCCTTGTCGCTTTTTACGTTTTTTCGTCTTTAAACAGCGAAAAAACACTAAAATCAAAATACCTATAATTCCGTTGCTACGTAAAACGCTCCTCCTTAAAAAAATCCCATTTTTTCAAGCCGACGACTCGAAAAAGGAGGACGCCCGCCAAAAAATGAAAAAAGCCCGCAAAATGCTAGCGAAAAAGCGCACTACGGCGCCGGTCATCCTCATCCCGACCATTCCCCCCGAGCGCATCCAGGAAATCGGGGCTCTGGTTACCATAACGAAAAAATCCCAATTCATCCAACGCCTAATCGCCTACTGGACCCTAAAACGCCAATTCCGGAACGGCGTGCCGCTCCTACGACGCCTACAAAGCGCCCAAGGGGGCCCGCGCGACTCCAACACCAGCAACGTGGACACCATCGAGCTGTGCAGACAACTGAAGTACTGGCAGTGTTTGAGGCAAGATTTAGAGCGAGCCAGGTACGAGAAAAATAATCGCCGGCACGTCGTCCGAAAAAAACGCTTTACCGTACTCGTTCCGTCTCTGTCGACAGGTTGCTGTGCGAGCTGGTGCGAAAGCGAGAGAAGATCAAACTCGAGGGGATCAAGATCGCCGAGAAGTGTTTGAATATTCAGCTGAAGCCTCTGGAGGCGAGTTTGCGGGTCGTGCTGGACTTGGTGGCGGCGAAGGACACGAATGAGATTTTCAGCGAACCGGTGGACTTGGAGGAGGTTCCGGACTACACCACGGTGGTGTCCGAGCCCATGGATTTGAGCACCATGAGGAAGAAGCTGGGGGATGGGTTGTACCCGGATTTGACTGCCATGGAGAAGGACTTCGATTTGATGATCGCCAACTGTTTGGCGTACAATAACCGAGACACAGTATTCTACAGGTGCGTTTAGTTACATGTATGACGTAGTGCGCATGCGTGACTTTGTGTTTAGAGCTGCGATTAAGATGCGCGACCAATGCGGCGCCATCTTCCGGCAGGCGCGCAAAGAGCTGGAGGCCTGCGGCCTCCTCAACGAGGCCAAGCCGAACGGGGAAAACCCGGCTACCGGCAACGAGGAGTCGCTGGCCTCGGACATCGACAAGGAGCTGGAGAACCTCCAGGGCAAGGTAGGTCCCGACGTGATCGCCAAGCTGGAGGAGCTCCTAGTGAAGAGTCAAGCGCTCAAGCACGGGCTGGCGCGAGCGAAGCGCGTGAAGGTGGTGCGCAGCGAGCTGAACAAGGCGCGGAAGAATCTGGCGAATACGGACAGCTCGCAGTCGGACGGGGACAATGACGTCGGCGATTCGAAGAACAGCTCGCAGAGTTCAGGTAGGTTGGGGCTTCGGGTGTAGGGTTTTGGCTAGTATGGTTTTTCTAGTGGAGGTGGTGTAAGGGTTCGGTGATGGGCCGAGTGGAGAAGAGAGGCGTTCTGGTCGTGTTGTTGATCTGCAGTTTTAGAAGTTTTTTGTAATTTTGTATGTGAAAAAATGGCGAAATAAAATTTTTGGTGGTTTTCGAAAGTGGTGGTTTGAGGGTGTGGAGATTGTTGAGTTGGATTGGAGGTGCAAAAACTAAGGACGTAAAGGGCGTCCGACAAGTTGTTTAGTTTCTTTTATGTCACGACAAATGTGTAACTTTGCACCACTGACTGTTCTTTTACGATATGTGTTGTGTCGACGTTTTTGTTAGCTCTTTCTGATGCGAGTAAACAGGCTAATTTGTTGGACTAAATGATTTAAATAAAAATTGGGGAAACCTGGTGATATATGTTTTTTCACAACAAATAGTAATTGTAAGTTTTTATGAAATGAAAACACTAAAAATTGAAATGAAACGACCAAGTTGCATGCGATTATAAAAATATAATTACGACCTAAGTATCACCGGAACAATATGTGTATTTGTTGAAAATTAATCTTCTAATTTGCCTTGTAGGGTTTCTCTGGAGTTTAGTCATTATGTAAGTCACTTACTTAATGTCCAACGAAAAAGTAACACTGCTTAAGTAGTCAAAAACAAAGTTATGCGGATCTTATCACAGTAAAATATTTATATATTTATGGTTGAATGAGCACACGGTTAACTTCCAAAGTATTCATTATTATCAATAGCTTAAAAATAAATGTATTGAAAAATTTACGCTTTTTGTGTGTGATTTTTAGTTAACTTTTATATTTAGCTTTTTTTCGACCTTTTGTGAGCGTTTTTGTTACCTTTTTTGCTACCTTTTTTGTCCTTTCTTTTGTACCTTTTCTTTGTAGCATTCTTTTGAATCGCTTTACTATTATATTTTTTATTATAGATTATATATTTGGCAGCTTTTTTTACACACGTCACCTTTTTCTGTCCTTTTTTAGTCGCACGTTTTTAGTTTTTTCGCACCTTTCTCTCATTTTTACGCTTTTGTTGGCTGCATTTTTTCGACTTTTTTGTGTATCAATTTTTGTCGTTTTTTAATGCCTTTTTTTTTGGATTTCTTCCGTGTTTTTTTACCCCTTTTTCGCACCTTTTTTGTTTCTTATTTGTGGTACTTTGTTGTTCTTCCTTTTTTTATCGCCTTTTTTATTATTTTTTTTTGTTAGCCTTTTTGGGACTTTTTTTTGTCACATTTTGTCGTTTTTCCCCTGAGCTTTTTTGTTACCTCGTATTACTCCTTTTTGAGTCGAATTTAATTTTTTTTTTTAATACCTTTTTATCATTTAACACTTTTTTGCATCTTTTTTCACCGTTTTTTCCAACATTTTTATTATCTTTTTTTTATTTGGCTTTTTTTCGACCTTTTGTGAGCATTTTTGTTACCTTTTCTTACCCTTTCGTTTGTACCTTTTCTTTGTAGCGTTCTCCTGAGTCCCTTTACTATTATATTTTTATATTTTTGGCACCCTTTTTCACACACTTTGTCCGCTTTTTCTGCCGTTTTTTTGTCTCGTCGACCACATATTTCTGGTCTTTTTAATTCTATTTTTTAGTCACACGTTTTCACTTTTTTTGGACTTTTTTCACCTTTTTCCGTATTTTTTCTCAGTTTTACGCCTTTGTTGACGCTATTTTTTTATCATTTTTTTATTTCCTTTTTTGATCGCTTTTTCCCAACTCGCGTTTTTTTTTCGTTCTTTTGTCGCTTTTTTGACGTTTTTTTTCGGATTTTTGTGTTTTACCCCCATTTTTAATTGCTCTTTTTTTGTCGCTTATTTATGGTCGTCTGTCACTTTTTGTTGCCGTTCTTTCTTTTTTTATCGCTTTTTTTCGCCTTTTTTGTGACCTTTTTTTATCACTTTTTCTCCTTTTTTTGTCGTTTTTTTCCTGAGCTTTTTTGTTACTTTATATTACTCTTATTTAAGTCGAATTTTTTATCATCTCACACTTTATTGCACCTTTTTTTCACCATTTTTATCGCCTTTTTTCCGCCATTTTTTTATTACCTTTTTTGCAAATTTTTTTGACACTTTTCTCACTAATTTTTGGGTTTATTGGTCGCTTTTTCCTTATTTTCGTTAATTTTCTCACCCTTTTTTTAATCGTTTTTTTGTCGCATTTTTTTGTTTTGTTTTTTTTTTGTCTTGTTCATTTGTCCCCCTTTTATTTCGACCTTTTTTCCACCTTTTTGGCGTCTGTTTGTTGGTTTTTTATCTTTTTTTAAGTAATCATTTTTTGGCACTTTTTATCACATTTTTTCACCTTTTTATTTTGTCGTTGTTTCCATGAGCTTTTTTACCATTTTTTTAACTTCTTTTTTTTATCGCATCTTAAAATACCTTTTTTGGCACCTTTTTCGCTTTTTTTTTTGGCGCTTTTCAACGTCTTTGTTTGACAATTTTTTATACACTGTTGTCTTTTATTTCACTTTTTCCTAACTCGCCCTCTTTTTCATTATTTTGATTTTAGTTGTTTTTTTTTGGCGTTTTTTTTTTGGGGATATTTTTTTTGTTTTTTTTAACCCGTTTTTTATTGCACCTTGTTGCCGTTATTCCCTTTTTATAGCTTTTTTTTCCTTCTTTTTTGTCCCATTTTATCGCTTTGTTCGCATTTTTTCTGACTTTTTTTTTACCCTTTTTTATTCACCATTTTTATCGCCTTTTTTCAGACATTTTTTTTATTATCCTGATTTTTGCGAATTTTTTCGACAATTCTCAATATTTTTTTCCTTTATTGGTCGCTTTTTCCTGACTCATCTTTTTTTTCGTTTATTTTGTCACCTTTTTTATCATTTTTTTGTCGCATTTTTTGTGTTTTTTTATCGTGTTCATTTGTCCCCCTTTTATTTTGATCTTTTTCTTATCTTACCTTTATCACGTTTTTTCACCGTGTTATTTTGTCGTTTTTTCATGAGCTTTTTTGCCATTTTTTAAAACTTTTTTTGGTCACATCTTTAAATACCTTTTTGTCGCCTTTTTTGACTTTTTGTTGGATAATTTGTTGTTTTTTACCCTTTTTTGTTGTTTATTTGTTGTCTTTTGTCACTTTTTTGTTGCTGCTCTTCCTTTTTTAATCATTTTTTTTGCCTTTTTTTGTGACTTTTTTATCACATTTGTTCGTCTTTTTTGTGTGTTTTTTTTTATTTGATCTTATTTTGTACCTTCCTTTTGTAGTCGATTTTTTTTTTTGTTTTTTAATGCCTTTTTATGACTTGACACTTTTTCACCATTCTTATCGCCTTTTTCGCCATTTTTTATTATCCTTTTTTTTGCGATTTTTTTTTGACACTTTTCTCACTATTTTTTCGCATTATTACTTTGTTCCCTTTTTCTGCCCTTTTTAGTCGCACGTTTTCACTTTTTTGGACTTTTTTCACCCTTTTCCGCACCTTTTCTCTCATTTTTACGCTTTTGCAGGATTTATTTTTTCGACTTTTTTTGTGTATCAATTTTTGTCATTTTTTGCTGCCTTTTTTTGTTTTTTTTTTATTTTTTTTCGTGTTTTTTACCCCTTTTTGCACCTTTTTTTGTTTCTTAATTGTGGTCTTTTGTCAGCCTTTTGTTGCCGTTCTTCCTTTTTTTTCGCCTTTTTTTATTTTTTTTTTGTCCTATTTTATCGCTTTGTTAGCCTTTTTGGGACTTTTTTTATCACATTTTGTCGCCTTTTCTGTTGTTTTTCCCTGAGCTTTTTTGTTACCTTGTATTACTCCTTTTTGAGTCGAATTTTATTTTTTTTAATGCCTTTTTATCATTTAACACTTTCTTGCACCGTTTTTGTCACCCTTTTTTCCTACATTTTTATTACCTTTTTTTTTATTTGGCTTTTTTCGACCTTTTGTGAGCATTTTTGTTACCTTTTCTTACCCTTTCTTTTGTACCTTTTCCTTGTAGCGTTTTGTTGCTGCTCTTCCTTTTTTAATCACTTTTTTGCCTTTTTTGTGAGTTTTTTTCGTCTTTTTTGTGTTTTTTTTTGTTTGATCTTATTTTGTACCTTCCTTTTTTAGTCGATTTTTTTTTTGTTTTTTAGTGCCTTTTTTATGACTTGACACTTTCACCATTCTTATCACCTTTTCCGCCATTTTTTATTATCCTTTTTTTTGCGATTTTTTTTTTACACTTTTCTCACTATTTTTTCGCATTATTGGTCGCTCTTTCCCGACTTGCCTTTTTTATCGTTTTTTTTATCGCATTTTTTGTGTTTTTTGTCCTACTCATTTGTCCCCATTTTATTTTGACCTTTTTTCCCACTTTTTTGGCACTCTTTATGATGTTTTTTTCACCATTTTATTTTGTCGTTTTTCATGGGCTTTTTTGCGATTTTTTTTTAACTTTTTTTTGGTGGCATACATATTTAAATACCTTTTTTGTTGCCTTTTTTTGACTTTTTGTTGCATATTTTTTTGTGTTTTTCCCCTTTTTTTGTTGCCTGTTTGTGGTCTTTTGTCACTTTTTTGTTGCCGTTTTTTCCTTTTTTATCGCTTTTTCCCACTTTTTTTCTCTTTTTTTTTTCCTGAGATTTTTTTTCTTGTTACCTGTTTTAATCTTTTTTTTTTTGCTTTTTAATACTGTTACGTTGAACGGGTGATTAAAATCGGCATGGGTAAAACTCAACAGTTCTTTCTTAATGACCCCAATTACACGACTGATCATTTCACAGCGATTATGTACAAAATAATTCCGGCGCAACTTGACTGTTCTGTCGTGGACTCCATTTGATGAATAATCCTACGTTCATCTCGATGGCTCGAGAACGCTACTTCGAGGGTTTTCTGGATTGCCCATCGCGACTTCCGCTTCCAGACTTTTCGACAACGAACGCCACGCCGCCCAGCCGATGAGTCATCACCGCCGTACATATCGCGAATTTTTTTGACAATTTTCTCACTATATTATCGGTTTATTGATCGCTTTTTCCTAACTCAGCTTTTTTCGTTCATTACTCACCTTTTTTATCGTTTTTTTTTTGTGGCATTTTTTGTATTTTTTTTATCGTGTTCATTTGTCCCATTTTATTTTGGCGTTTTTATGAGCTTTCTGCTATTTTTTTTTTACTCTTTTTGATCGCATCTTTAAATACCTTTTTTCGCCCTATTTTTGTCGCTTTTCAACGCCTTTTTTGATACTCTTTTTGTTGTCTTTTTCCTAACTCCGCAGTAGTTTTTGTGTTTTCTTATACTTTTTTTGTTACTGTTTTTCTTCCTATTTTGTGGACTTGTTTTTACTTTTTTCGCCTCATTTTATCGCTTTGTTTACCTTTTTTTGAAATGAATCTTGAAATGAAATTATCCAAATCACTTACTTAATCTAAAATTTAAAAGTAAATACTACTTAAGTAGCCAAAAACAAAGTTATGCGGATTTTATCAAAGTAAAATATTTATTTATGGCTGAATGAGAACACGCTTAACTCCTAAAGTATTCTTTATCAATAGTTTAAATGTAAATGCAGTGAAATATCGACGTTATGATATGCATGAAATGTAACTGATAATGTCAGAAGGTGACAAGCACACGCGATCGTGTTTGTTTCTAGGCGATATTTTTATACATGAATTGTGTGAAAACTCACTTTCCATTAAAAAAAATCCACATATATTTTTTGTTATTGAAAAACATGGTCCTAATAAAGATAAAGTTTGATTCATAATTAATTGTTTATTTGTTTCAAAAGTACATCATCGAGTCGTATTTAATTCGATTTTTTCTTCTTATAAAGCCCCAGACATTTACCTGGATCACACACCAAATCGTAGCAGGTAGTAGTGATCGGACAAGTTCGATTTTTCCCACACGGCTGCAAATCTGAAAATTTACCACTCAAATAAAATTTTATCACTATGCAAACTACTCACTCGAACAGTCCTCCGGTGTACCTTTATCCCGTCTTGAGGGCTTGCGACGACCTGGAAATAAATCGGGTGTAATAAATGCAAAGAAGTGTCAGACCTTACCCTTGGTAAAATGCGTATTTGCTCCGTACAGCAAACTTAGAACCAAAGCAAGCACAAGGAAAAATTTGAAAATTTTCATGGCGAAAACCGCGTTCGAGTCAGTGCAACGACTGGCGATTTCTGAAAGCTGAAATAAAGTTTAAACGGTATTTGTGATGTGTTATCGTTCGCAAATTATAAATGTAAATTAATTGACGTAGCTTTCGAAGGACGCCCCATTTCCTGGTAAAAATGCGAACAATTTTAGTGTGTTCGGCTGTTAAGGGTATATGTGTGGAAATAATGATACACAGTGGTCAACCTTGACATTAATAGCACTTTATGATTACTATTTTCTTAACTACTGGGATAAATGATATCATAATAGTCGATGCCTTCTTCACGCTGTTCTCGTCCATATCCATTTCTATACTTATACAAACCCTGCGAACGACCATCGTCACAGACAGAATTGAAACAAGTCAGAGCTTCAGGGCACGCATCCAATTTTCCACAAGTCGGTAGGTCTAGAATTTTTTCAAACCTTCAAGTCAAAAATTTTGCCCTACACCATGTTGAAAAAATTACTTTCTTGCAAACGCACTTGGACACAAAGAAGTACCAAAAAAAGAAGTTTTAACACTGCCATGTCTGAATAACAAGTTAGAACTGAAGCAGTAACAAGACTTTCTAATTTGTTATTTTTATTTTATAGTTTGCATTTTACGTCTACCGATAACCGATAAAATTTATGTTTTCTTTTTGTTATCTAAAAAGCCGCGGCAATTTAGATACTTTATGTGTTTTTTAATTGCAATTAGGTGTCTCTCCGAGCGGAGTGAACCGCCGAACCGCCGTACTTTTTACCCGAAAGGCGCAAGCCGCGCTGAAAAAGCCCGCAGAAGAAAAAGAGGAGAAAGAAGCGCCTTCTCCGGGCCCCCCCAAACCGTAAGTACATTTCTAACCGTCTCGATCCGGCTCGAAGGACCGTTTTTTCGCCCAAACAGAAAAAAGAAGGGGCGTCCCAGACGCACCCCCGAAGTCACGGTGAGTCCTACCGTGGACACCAAAAAGCTCGACTCCGTCCCCGACAGCTTCCGGGTGTACCGCGCCGGGCACCAGACCTCCGGCGACGAAAACAGCGACAGCGCCACGAGCTTGTCCACGTGCTACTCGCACGAGGCGTCTGAAGTAGAAACGGACGAAAGCGACTCGGATCACGTCCCGGAGAACGCCGAAGTGGCGACGGAGAAGATCGAGCTGAAGCCGCTGCAGCTAGTCTGGGCCAAATGTCGGGGGTACCCGTGGTACCCGGCCCTCATCATCGACCCAGAAATGCCCAAAGGGCACCTGCACAACGGGGTCCCTATCCCGTCGCCCCCCAGCGAAGTCATGGCCTTGAGGTCCAACCACTCCGAAGAGGTGTACTTGGTTCTGTTCTTCGACGCCAAGCGGACGTGGCAGTGGCTACCGGCGGAGAAACTAGAGATCATGGGGCTGGACCAAGAGAGGGACGAGGCCAAGGTAGGGCTAAATTTGTCAAAACTACACACAAAATGATGCTCGAGGTGCGCGAAAGTGGCGCAGTCGGTTATTTATTTATTTATACATATTTTAGCATTTTTTTTGTTGTGTAAGGTCAACGAGCCCCGGAAGCCCGCCGACAGGAAGGCCGTGCGCAAAGCCTACGAGAACGCCCTCCAGTACGAATCTCAAGTCAACGGCCCCGATGGCGCCGATGCGGCTTCTTAATTTTGTGGCCCCCTTTTTGAGAGTGGTGGCGCTTTAAATGTTTCGGTCCGTTTCTAGATCTCTTACCTGTAAGGTTGCGTTAAGTTTAATAAATACGTTTGTAAGTAGGGGGTGTTTGATTTACCGTGGCGGCGGTTGGCGTGGGCGTAGGCCGGGAAGGCTAGGTTCGTCGCGTTGGAGAAGTGGTGCTTGATTCCGATGAAGTCTACGTCGGGGGGAGGGCCGTTTTGGAAGAATAGGGGCTCGGCTTCGTAGTCGAGGAAGTGGTCGGGGTAGCGCGCGGGCGGGGCGAAGGTGCGCTCGTTGGCCACTTCGTTGTCGGGGCCGGAGTCGCTCTCGTCGCTGGAGCCGCTGTCGTCGTCTTTGGTCAAGAGGAGTGGAAGGGCGTGGCGCTTCTTGGTGGGGGCGTGGTGTTCTGGAGGGAGTTTGCGTAAGTCTGGAATCAATTAAGTTTTTACTCTGAATCTAATCAAAATTGTAGTTATAATAACATTTTGCAATTTAACTTTGAAACTGCAAAATATAATTAAATAAATCATAAATCATAGATTATTAAACGCTAACTAAAATTTAACTAGTCAACCCCACCACTAATGGGATGACGTCATCTCCAAAATTTATAATAAAAAGTTAAAAAAAAATAAAAAGTCAAAACTGAATGACAATATTTTGCAATATAACTTTGAAATTGCAAAACCGATTGCTCTGAAATCTTGTAAATATTTTAAGGTTATCGCAAAATTTTGCCGAATAAATTTTTGGCGGTTCGAAATTTTCCATGTTTCCTACAAATCGATTCTTTTATTTTTTGACTTTTCAATTTTTGTTTTTCGATTTTTCAATTTTTCGTTTTTTTTTTTTTTAATTTTAGATGTTTCGAACTCTCGATTTTTCGGTTTTTTAGCATTTCAGTTTTCAATTTTCAATTTTTAGAATTTTTAATTGTTAACTTTTCAATTTTTGGATGTTTCGATCTCGATTTTTTACTTCTTGATATCTCGATTTCTCAATTTTTCGACATTTTAGTTTGAGGATTTTTCAATTTGTCGATTTTTCGAATTTTCGATTTCTTGATTTTCCGATATTTCAGTTTTGCGATTTCAGTTTTTCGATTCTTCAAATTTTTCGATTTTTCAATATTTCAATTTTTCGATTTTTTGTTGTTTTGATTTCTCGATTCAATTTTTCGATTCTTCAATTTATGGGCATTTTAATTTTTCGTTTTTTTTTTATTTTAGATATTTCGATTTCTCGGTTTTTTAGCACTTCTGTTTTCAATTTTCGATTTTTCGACTTCCTGGTTTTAGATTTTTTAATTTCTCAAATTTTCGACATTTTAGTTTGAGGATTTTTCAATTTATTTTTTAATTTCGCGATTTTTTATTTTTCGATTCTTTAAATTTTTCGGTTTTTCAATGTTTCAATTTTTGGCGTTTCGAAATTTTTTATTTTTCCTTTGATTTTTCGACTTTTCGATTTCCCAATATTTCGAATTTTTGATTTCTAGATTTTTCGATTTCTCAGTTTTTCGACATTTTAGTCTGAGAATTTTTCAAATTGTCGATTCTTCAATTTCTCGATTTTCCGATATTTCAGTTTCACGATTTCAGTTTTTCAGTTCTTTAAATTTTTCGATTTTTCAGTATTTCAATTTTTCGATTTTTTGTTGTTTTGATTTCTCGTTTCAATTTTTCGACTCTTCAATTTATGGGCATTTTGATTTTTCGTTTTTTTTTTTATTTTAGATATTTCGATTTCTCGGTTTTTCGGTTTTTTAGCACTTCAGTTTTCAATTTTCGATTTTCCTACTTCCTGGTTTTAGATTTTTTAAATTCCTCAATTTTTCGACATTTTAGTTTGAGGATTTTTCAAATTGTCGATTCTTCATTTTCTGGATTTTTTGAATTTTTAATTTCGCAATTTTTTATTTTTCGATTTCTCGATTTTCCGATATTTCAGTTTTTCGATTCTTTAAATTTTTCGGTTTTTCAATATTTCAATTTTTGGCGTTTCGAAATTTTTTATTTTTCCTTTGATTTTTCGACTTTTCGATTTCCCAATATTTCGAATTTTTGATTTCTAGATTTTTCGATTTCTGAGTTTTTCGACATTTTAGTCTGAGGATTTTTCAAATTGTCGATTCTTCAATTTCTCGATTTTTCGAATTTTCAATTTCTGGATTTTATGTTTTTCGATTTCTCGATTTTCCGATAAGTCAGTTTCACGATTTCAGTTTTTCGATTCTTTAAATTTTTCTTTTTTTCAATATTTCAAATTTTGGCGCTTCGAAATTTTCTATTTTTCCTTTGATATTTCGATTTCCCAATATTTCGATTTTTTGATTTCTAGATTTTTCAGTTTTTCGATTTCTCCCATTTTTTGATGTTTTGATTTTTCAATTTTTTGATTCTTCAATTTTTCGACATTTTAATTTTTCTTTTTTTTAATTTCTATTTCTTGATCTTTCGATTTTTCGACTTATCGTTTTTAGATTTTTCAGTTTTCAATTTTTTGGCTTTTAAATCTTTCAATTTTCTGTTTTCCGATTTTCCAATTAATCGAAATTTCGATTTATCGAGTTTTTTAAGTTAAATGTTTCACTGGCTTCTCGATTTCTCAATTTTTCAATTTCGACTCTTCGATTCTAGGATTTTTCAATTTTGGGATTTTTAAATTTCCCAATTTTTTAGTTTTTCGATTCGTCATTTTTTCGATTTTTCAATTTTTCGATTTTTTTAATTGTAGATTTTTCGATTCTTCAAATTTTTCGATTTTTCAATATTTCAATTTTTGGCGCTCCGATATTTTCTATTTTTCCTTTAATTTTTCGATTTCCCAATATTTCGATTTTTTATTTCTCCACCTTTTGATTTCTGTATTTTTCAATTTCTCAAGTTTTCGATGTTTCACTTTTAGGATTTTTCGATATTTCGATGTTTTAATTTTTCGATTTTTTTATGTTTTGATTTCTCGATTTTTCAATTTTTCGAGATTTTAATTTTTCGTTTTTTTTAAATTTCTATTTTTGATCTTTCGATTTTTCGACTTTTAGAGTTTTAAAATTTTTGATTTTTTAAGTTTTCAATTTTTCGGCTTTTAAGTCTGTCAATTTTCTGTTTTCCGATTTTCCAATTTATCGAGATTTCGATGTTTCGATTTTTAAATTTTTCGATTTTTTGATGTTTTGATTTCTCGATTTTTCAATTTTTCGAGATTTTAATTTTTCGGTTTTTTTTTTAATTTCTATTTCTTGATCTTTCGATTTTTCAACTTATCGCTTTTAGTTTTAAAATTTTTGATTTTTTAAGTTTTCAATTTTTCGGCTTTTAAATCTGTCAATTTAAATTTTTTAAATTATGGCTTTCGATTTCTCAATCTTTTGATGTTTCAATTTTTCAATTTCGATTTCTCGGTTTTTCAATTTTTTGATTCTACGATTTTTCAATTTTTCGAGATTTCAGTTTTGGGATTTTTAAATTTCCCGATTTTTTAGTTTTCCGATTCGTCATTTTTTCGATTTTTTAATTTTTTGATTTTTTAATTGTAGATTTTTCGATTTCTGAATTTCTAGTTTTTTTATTTTTAGTTTTTCGGTTTTTTAAATTTTATATTAACGATTTTTCCAATTTTCGATTTTACGATTTTAAACTTTTTAGTATGTATGTACATATTTCGATTTTTCGACTTTTAATTTTTTTGATTTCTCGATTTTTCAAGTTTTCGACATTTCAGTTTTGAGATTTTTCAATTTTTTGAATTTTAGTTTTTCGATTTTTTTAATTGCAGATTTCTCGATTTTTTAAATTTTATATTGACGATTGACGATTTTTCCATTTTTCGATTTTACGTTTTTTTTTTATGTTTCGAATTCCCGATTTTAACCTTCTTAGTATGTATGAGTATGTATGTACACATTTCAATTTTTCGAATTTAAAAATTTTTCGACTTTCCATCGTTTTGATTTCTTGATTTTTCAGTTTTTCAACATTTCAATTTTGGGAATTTTTCAAAATTTCATTTTTTTCAGTCCTTCGATATCGATCGATCTTTCAACTTTTCGGATTTCGATTTTTCGGTTTTTCAATTTTCGATTTTTAAATTTTTTTCATTTCTCGATTTTCGTTTTTCGGTTGTTCGATTCGTCGATATTTTTTGTAATTTATGGAAGCACCGGGATTTGTTGAGCTGCACTTCAGGGACGAGGGAAGTTCTGTCGAAATAACATTCGACCAATTTTTTTATTCGAAAAAATAAAAAACCGAAAAACTCAAAAAATAAAAAATTGGATAATCGAAAAATTGCAAATCGAAGATCCGAAGAAACGAAAAATTGAAACTTTGAAAAACTAAAAATCCGCAAACTTAAGAATCAAATAAATTAATGAATCGAAAAATTGGAAAGAAAAAAAAACGAATCGAATCGAAAAGTTGAAAAACCCAAAAATTGTAAAATCGGAAAAATTATAAAATCGTCAAAATTCCAAAGATCAAAAAATAGAAAATTTAAATGTCTAGAAATTGAAAAAATTAAAAATCGAAAAATTGAAAAATCGAATAAATGAATAGTTTTACAACAATCCAATTATTTAAAAATGAAAAAATTCTAAAATCGTAAAATTGAAAAATCCAAAAGTTGGAAAATCGAAAAACTGAAAAATATAAAAATCAAAAACTCGAAGAGTTGCATATCGTAAAGTTGAAGAAACAAAAAAAAATTGAAGAATTGAAAAATTCAAGCGAAAAAAGCTGTGGAAGTGTTATTTACGCTATTGATTTTTACTTTATAGAGATTATCAGAAAACAAAATTCGCAAAAAGTTTTTATAATTTTTCAAAGAACCGGGGTTTGGAAGGAAGTTCTATGGAAATAACCTTCGACCAAATTTTTAATAGGTTATGTCAAGTGACATAACTTAGTAAAACTTTTGTGACTTAAGCGACTTAAACCAAACCACCTGCTAAAGTCAAAGTGGCTCTTGTATAACTTAACTCAGTTCACATATACCTAGTAAAACTGTACTAATGGACAGTAATAATCCTTGCGGTTCGCTTCCATAAAGCCTACAATTATAGCCAGTTTGACTTGAAAGAGTGGTGTGGCTTAAGCCGCTTAAGTCAAAAGTTTTACTAGGTATATGTCAACTGAGTTAAGCGTATGGACACTATTACCTGCTGTATGCAAACACAAGAGCAGCATAACAAACACGAACGCCACTGTTTTTCCGTCCATGGTCACAAAACAACTGACTGCGAACTGGAAGTTTCAGTCTTTTTGTGGTGTCACGAAAAATACCAAAGATCGTTTCCCCTCAACCAGAATTTTACAGTGTACAATTTTGCCTGATTAATGGAAGTTTAAGTCCTTTTGTATTGTCATGTAATATACTAAAGGTGCTGAATGTTGTAAAAAAAAATCATGTATTATTGCTATTCCATTTTTTATTTCCCCTCAACCAGAATTTTACAGTGTACAATTTATTGCCCGATCAATGCTTCTTTTCGTGTTCGTGGTGCTTTTCACCTCCATGCACATGGTGCTTTTCATGGAGGTGGTGCTGTTTTTCCTGTCCGCCATGATGCCTGGCATGTTCGTGGTGCTTTTCGTGTTCGCCATGGAAGTGTTTCACGCCTTCATGGTAGGATTTAGCATCAAGATGGTGGGCTTTATCGTGTCCGTGGTGGGTCTTGTCGTGGCCGTGGTGGGCCTTGTCGTGTCCGTGGTGGGCCTTGTCGTGGCCGTGGTGGTCCTTCTCGTGTCCATGGTGGGCCTTGTCGTGTCCGTGGGTCTTCTCGTGAAGGTGTTTTGTATGTTCGTGGTGTTTGTCAGCCTGATGCAAATGTTTGGAGTGTCCGTGCTGTTTGGCATTTGGATGGTGGTTGGATTTTGCGTTAGAGTGGTGCCTGTCGTGGTGAGCGAACTCTTTGCCTTGGTGGTACAGATGTTTGGCGAAGCCTGTAAGGGAAAGGTTGGAAGAAAGCACACATTTTGTGGTGGCTGTTACCTTTGAGATGCTTCTCGTTGGTTTTTTTTTCGGTTTTAGAGCATATGCAGTGACAGGTCTTGTCACCTGCGGTGATGATCTCATGCGATCCATCTGATCCTGAAGTTCCTTCTGTGGTGGTTTCGCTTGATTCGCCGTTGGATGATCCCGAATTAGAGTTGTTTGAGGAATCGGTTGATGCACCGGTGGAGGTTTCAGAATCGCAAGAAGTAGAAGAACCGTCGGGTATAGGGGTAGGAGTTTCTTTTCCTGGAGAAGTAGAACTTCCTTGTCCCGGAGAATCAGAACTTCCTTCTCCCGGAGAAGCAGAACTTCCTTGTCCCGGAGAATCAGAACTTCCTTCTCCCGGAGAATCAGAACTTCCTTGTCCCGGAGAAGCAGAACTTCCTTGTCCCGGAGAATCAGAACTTCCTTCTCCCGGAGAATCAGAACTTCCTTCTCCTGGAGAAGCAGAACTTCCTTGTCCCGGAGAATCAGAACTTCCTTGTCCCGGAGAATCAGAACTTCCTTGTCCCGGAGAATCAGAACTTCCTTGTCCCGGAGAATCAGAACTTCCTTCTCCCGGGGAAGCAGAACTTCCTTCTCCCGGGGAAGCAGAACTTCCTTGTCCCGGAGAATCAGAACTTCCTTCTCCCGGAGAAGCAGAACTTCCTTGTCCCGGAGAATCAGAACTTCCTTCTCCCGGTGAAGGAGAAGTTCCTTTTGGATTTGTTCCACTAACCGATTCCGTGGTACCGTCCGAATCTGCCAAAAACTCGTATTAGCAATGTACTAGAATCGTGTTCAGTACCAAACTTACCTGGACTTGAAGTTATGCAATTAAGGCCACATCGATCGCCGACGTTACTACGAGAGGCTATTTTCACTGGATTTTGTCTTGCTTTTAAAAACTCGTGAGCGTTTATGGACACGGCGACGAGGACCACCAACAAAACTACTTTCAAAGCCATTTTTGCTTTAAATGTAGAGGTTTAAGTCGGCCGGTTTTTATACGCTTGAAATATGCGGGTATTCGAAAAGAATTTTGGGATTTTCTTTATCTAGGTATGTGGTGCATAGAAGCGATGTGAGTCAGACTATTTCAAAAAATCTTTGATAAGAGAGTCATTTTAATTTGTAATGAGGTAAGTACCATGTGTGAAGGAAAAATGTGGAGTTTTTCCACCGCTTTAACGATCGAGTTTGTGGATAAGCGAAATTATTCAAACAAGGACGTTGTGACGACATTGAATTTTTGAATCGAGGTTTCTTTGATGTTGAACTCTTTGGAATTTTGAAACTATTATCTTGAAATACTTATCTGATGATGATTAACATCAACTCGACTTTTTTTTCAATCACGATGTTTGCCATCACTAATTATCGTCACACAATAGCCACAAAGACCGGTTCTAAATAATAGATCCACTCGATATTGATTTAACAATCACTGCACAAATCCTTCAGTCTTCACACAATGGACGACCAAATCTCACCCTTGCGCCACTACGTCCTCAACACCTCCTTCCACGGTTTCCGCTTCATCGCGGAAGCCGGAAGACACTGGACCGAACGGTAACTCAAAAAATAAAACCAACCCGTTTCACAATTTATTCTTTGTATAAGCATCTTCTGGACAGTGTGTTGTGTCTTAAGCTGGACCGCCACAGGTCTCCTCATCAAGTCATCATGGGAAGACTTCCAGAACAACGCCATTAGTTTCGTCGTGGACACCAGCTACCTGGACTGGGACACCAATTTTCCCTCGATTTCGGTGTGCGAAAGCGACAACCAGAAACGCATAGCGGAAATAACGGATCAGACCTATGGAGACCCCCACGATTACAATTTGGACGAAATCGTCAAGGAGTTGGTGTATTTCAGGGGTTTGTCGTTTTACACGCTTCAGATTTGCGGACCGGAGGCCCAAATGCCCAGCGAACACTGTTTTAAGAGGAGGTTTAGCGATTTTTCGAAGGATGTGAGGAGTAATTGTAGCCAGGTTTTCCGGAAGTGTCGATGGAACGACCAAGAGTTTGATTGTTGTGCGTACTTTGGAGAGATTGACTCGGAAATGGGGGTTTGTTTTGCTATTAATTCGATTCAGGTGAGGGATAAAAAGACGAAGTGGTTGTCGATGGTTTCGAATATCAAAAAAGGGCCAGGGAGTTTGTACTTGGAGATTAATGGGTTTGCCAATGTTTATATTTTGGGGGAGCAGGAAGTCCCTTCGTTGACGACTCTGACGACGGATGTGATGCAGATTACGCCTCATATACACTATCACAGGTTTTTGGCCATTAAAGAAATTGATAACCAACCAGAAGTCAGTTATTATAAAACATAAAAGCAACTTTTTAATCGAACGTTATAGGTAAAAGACGTAAGTATTCGTCAACGTAAATGTCGTTTCAATGATGAATCCGATTTGGACGCTTACCGTTACTACAGTTACAGCGCTTGTTGTGTCCAATGTCGCAAAGATGCCCAAATGCGAATTTGTGGCTGTGCCCACCATCTAATGCCCAATATTCGTACGACTTTGTAACTTCTAAAGTACTTTTGTAACACTTATTGTTACAGCTGCAAGTACCCATTGTAATATCACTGGTCTGTATTGTCTTAGTAAACATTACAACGAACTGTCTGTTCTCAAACCGTATTGGGCCAACAGGACGGGACTTGTTTGCGATTGCTTACCCAGTTGTACTGAAATCGAACTGGCGGTAATCAAAGACGACAAATTTGGGTACTTTGGTTGTAAAGTGTAGCTACATTGGTTAACATCGTTTTTGTTTTGAAGAATTCCGGATGATTTTGCCATTCTGGAACTGTCTTTGGAGCGACTACCGACAGAACGTTACAAGAGAAACGTTGTTAGAGGGAAACTGGATTTAGTTGGTGCGGTTATACTTTTATAGTTACTGGTTTTTGAATGGTTACTATTGTAGTGTCAATGGGAGGCAGTACCGCGTTGTTTTTGGGCGCTAGTATCCTGAGTTTTGTCGAAGTGGTGTACTATTTTCTAGTACGACCAATAAGCAACTCGATTTTGGCTAAAGAAAAAGCCCGTGAAAGTAGGAAGTACAAACGTAAAGATAAAGCAGGAATGCTGATACTACCGACGATTTCTTAAAAAAATTAACTGTGTTTATTGAACAGCTGTCTGCACAGTGTGATGTAGAGTAGTAGAGATGTAATGACAAGAACGTCACCTTCACTTCAGCCAATTAAAATCAAGATTTCGTAGCGCGGCAAAAACGTCTGATTTAAATTTCGAATTTGATAACACATAGTTAGAATAAAAACTGTAATAGACTGAGTGAATATTTTGCTTGTTTATTACTTCCCGAGCGTAAGCAAAGGAAGTATTGTAATCGAGTCCGTCGGCCGACTCTCTACTTTTACGTTTTCTCGATCTTTCATGACCCCTAGAACACGAAGAAATAGGTCTCCCATTTCCGTCTGTCTGTCCGTCTGTCCGTCTGTCCGTCCGTCTGTCCGTCTGCCGTCCCGGATTTTTATTAGACAGATAATCTCCGAAAGTACTCGACCGATTGTTGTGAAATTTTGTACTTATATTAAGAATATCATGTAGATGGTAAAACGCTAACCAAAATTTGTCTAATCATCCCCACCACTAATGCGATGACGTCACTTCAAAATTGTACATAGTAAATGGGTTTTCAATTGTATAAAATAACATAGTCCTACACATGTAGTTTACAACTCTGAATCGACTTTTCACCCGAAACGTCCAGATTTTTGGAAAAAAAATCAAAATTATAAAACAACATTTTGAAATTTAATTTTTAATCTGCTAACCAGAATGCTTTGAAATGTTGCAGATGTTTTAAGGCTATAAAGAGCATCATAAATCTTTAGTCAAAAAATATTTGCTTATCCCCTCCAAAAACTTGATGACGTCAGCTCAAAAGTTTGTGGAATAAATCATATCTAAAATGTACAAAATATGATGAGTCTGTACTTGTGATCTATCACTCCATTCATATTTTTTGGATTTGCATATACAGGGTGACTCAAAAAAATTAATGAATGCGTAAATTTATTTTACTGATTTACTCAGAAACTACAAAACCGAATGCTTTGAAATCTTGCAGATGTTTTAAGGTTATAAAGAGCATAATAAATGTTTAGTCAAAATATATTTGCTTATCCCCTCCAAAAACTTGATGACGTCAGCTCGAAAGTTTGCCGAATAAATCATATCTAAAATGTACAAAATATGATGAGCCTGTACTTGTCATTTATCACTCCATTCATATTTTTTGGATTTGCATATACAGAGTGACTCAAAAAAATTAATGAATGCGTAAATATATTTTATTGATTTAATCAGGAACTACAAAACGGAATGCTCTGACATCTTGCACATGTTTTAAGGTTATAAAGAGCATAATAAATGTTTAGTCAAAATATATTTGCTTATCCCCTCCAAAAACTTGATGACGTCAGCTCGAAAATTTGCCGAATAAATCATATCTAAAATGTACAAAATATGATCAGTCTGTACTTGTGATCTATCACTCCATTCATATTTTTTGGATTTGCATATACAGGGTGATTCAAGAAAATAAATGAAAGCGTAAATTTATTTTACTGATTTACTCAGGAACTACAAAACCGAATGCTTCGAAATCTTCAAGATATTTTAAAATTATCATAAGCATGGTAAATTTTTGATCAAAACGTATTTGGTCGTCCCCCCTAAAAAATTTATGACGTCACCACAAAATTTTGCTGAATAAATCCTATCTAAAATGTACAAAATATGGTGAGTCTCTTCTTGTGATTTATCATTCCATTCAAATTTTTTCGATTTGCATATACAGGGTGACTCAAAAAAATTAATGAATGCGTAAATTTATTTTATTGATTTAATCAGGAACTACAAAACCGAATGCTTTGAAATCTTGCAGATGTTTTAAGGTTATAAAGAGCATAATAAATTTTTAGTCAAAATATATTTGGTTATCTTCTACAAAAAACTGATGACGTCAGCTCAAAATTTTGCCGAATAAATCGTATCTAAAATGTACAAAATATGATGAGTTTGTACTTGTGATTTATCATTCCATTCATATTTTTGGATTTGCATATGCAGGGTGACTCAAAAAAATTAATGAAGGCGTGAATTTATTTTATCGATTTAATCAGGAATTACAAAACCGAATGCTTTGAAATCTTGGGAATATTTTAAAGTTATTATAAGCATGGTAAACTTTTGTTCAAAATGTATTTGTTCATCCCTCCAAAAAAATTGATGACGTCACACTTAAATTTTGCTGAATAAATCCTATCTAAAATGCAAAAAATATGATGAGTTTGTACTTGTGATATATCATTCCATTAATATTTTTTAGATTTTCTTAAGAGGTGGTTCAAAAAAATTAATGAAGTCAATTTATTTTATTGATTAAATTAAAGGCAACACTTATTATTAGTATTACACCCCAACCAACCCAATTTGGTAGACACAAAATTTGTTAAAGGAAAAACTCGGTTGAAACATAAGGGTAGCACGGTTATTTACATCGACTTTAACATTACAGACCTGCATTTGTTTTATGCGTTCACTTGATTCCGCGAATGTGAAATAGACATGTTTATAATCAACCAATTGTGAATTTCACCGTCAAGAATTAAAATAAAACCCAATGTTTTATATAATAAGCGGAAGTCGAAGCAATAAAAGCGACGGTCGTTTTGTTTACAGTTTCTCTGTTTGGCTCTCGCGTATGCTGTTACGCCTGTCATCTTAAATTAAGAATGTTTATACATATACGATTTTCAGTTGCCTCTGATACGTAGGTATACGTGAGTAAATTGTTTCGTTATTTTATTGATTATTACAAATCAATATTCAAACGACCCAATTCATTTTCCCGAAAATTTGAGAATATAATAATTTTATTCTTAGTATTACACTACATCTATCCCAACTGATATACGTGTCCTTGCTAAAATGTTGATGACGTCATCGCAATTTTTTTTTAAATTCCCACTACAAAAATGTAATGAGAAAAAAAAACACAATAGGCATGCAGTCGTCAAGTTTCCGACAGCGAGGGAAGTACTGTCTAAACTCTTTAGACCAATTTTTTTTATTCGTCGTGAGCCAAGAAGGCGGAGCTTGACTGCAAAATCCGTATTTTTCCACAAGAAATTAAAAACATGTTTTTAAGTATCGTGTTGTCCAAAGAATACTATGTATATTGACCCACCCCATCTCAATTCTAACGATTTTTTTTATTCTTCGAACCTTAAAACACGTTTAAAATGGTAAATTTTTGTGAGGAAGTATGGATTTTTCAATTTCGCTGCACTCCAAAGGCAAAACATGAGCCCCGCCCACCCACCCTATCTCAATTGTGATGATTTTTTTTAATCGTCCAGAGCCAAAGGAGCGGAATTTAATTGCAAAATCCTTATTATTTCTCTACAATAAATTACCATATAAGACATGTTTCTGAGTATCGTGTTATTCAAAAAATGCTATGTATTTAAAAAAAAATAAAGCCAAATATTAAGCCCCACCCATACCTGCCCTGATCTAAATAGTTGATAATTTTTCATTCATTGGCAGATCTAGGATCATCACAATGGAGATGGGGTGGGTGGGCGGGGTTAACATTTTGCCCTTTTTTCTTAATATACAATAGTATTCTTTGAACGACACGATACTCAAAAACATTTTATTAATTTCTTGTAAAGAAACAAGTATTTTGCAGTTAAGCTCCGCCCCCTTTGTTTCACGGCGAATAAAAAAAAATCATCACAATTGAGATAGGGTGGGTGGGCGGGCTGACATTTTGCCTGTTTGTTTTAATATGTGTAGACTTCTTTTCACAACATGAAACACATGTTTAAAATGGAAAATTTGTCTAAGGAAATATCGATTTTGCAATTAGGTTCCACCCCATAATTGTAAAATCCATATTTCCTTGCAAAAATGTACCATTTTAACCATCTTTTAAGTTTCTTGTTGTGAAAAGTTGGCTATGTATATTAAGAAAAAAAGGTAAAATATGAGCCCCGCTCACCAGACATTTCAAGTGTGATCATTATGGGGGAGAACCTAATTGCAAAATCGATATTTCCTGATACAAATTTTCCAATTTAACCATATGTTATATTGTGAAAAGAAGTCTACACATTTTAAGATGCAAAGGCAAAATCTAAAGTATATCTAGGGTCTCTAGTTGAAGTATTTTTCGTAAAATTCCGTGATTTTCTTTTTTATTCGCTACTTCAATTTCCTAAATGTCGAAGCTGGCCAGTTTTCTTCATAATATAAGTACTTTATTCTTTAAATGTGACCAAATAATGTTTACTTGAAGACGCTTTGTCGTTTTGGAAAGAAAAATAGGATTCATCATCATAAATGATGTCTTTTTTGCCACTGAGTTTGAAATCACCAGAAAATAAGGCATTTAGTCTGGCTCTTTGTCGTTCTGGTCGTTCAGGTGTCGATTTTCAGGCGTCTATTTTGGTATAACGGTCAATTCCTTTTTGTTTTAATATTTTCGATATATTCCGATCTGACACATGATATTTTCTTGCTAACTTCGATGCAGACGCTCCATTTTTCTTTGAAAGTTTAACAATCTTCCGAATTTCTTCTTCCGGTAATTTTCTTCTTTTTTTTTCCAGACTCTTCTTTCCTTTCTATTCCACCAACTCCATCCAATATTTCCCAAACTCTATACACAGTGGTTTCCCCAGTTACATAATTTTTTAATCCCTTAACCGCCAAATATGGAGTAATCTTTGGCTGCCTGTCATACACCAAATTTATTAATTTTCTTTTTTCAAGTTCTTTTAGCGGAGCCATTGCTAATATGACAGTTTTGCTTAAAAATAAATGATCGTCATCAAAATCTAAACGTCATATTTAATATAGCACTATGCAAAGCGCTTCTTTATACAAAAATTGTGGAAATTAATTATAGTCCCGATTTTAAGTTCGCATACCTTAAAATTATAATGGAGGAAACATGTATTCAATATTTTTTCCTATAATTGCATCTCCATAAAAAATAAAACCATACTGTCTTAGTGTGGTTAATTTAAATCAGTTACCCTAAGTACACAGAACAGTTCAAACAATACAAA